CTCTCTCTCTCTCTCTCTCTCTCTCTCTCTCTCTCTCTCTCTCTCTCTCTCTCTCTCTCTCTGAGCGGGCGATGCACGATACCGCACCCGTTGTATCTAATCTCCCCCGGAGGAACGTATGCGCAGCGCGAGTACAGCGAGTAAATACTGTGCCAGAAGGGGGTACTTTCGGTGTGTTCGATGTATCGGCTATTGCACGCCGTTCGCCGTTTAGTGCTCGCCCGCTCGTTCGCCCCCGACCTCCTCCTTCTGACCTGCCGCCGACGATAAAGGCCACACACGTTAGCCTCACTCTCCGCGTCGCGAGTGAGTTGTCGCAAGCAGAAAAATCGCGAAGAGCGACCAGCGACGTTTCATTGTGCGTCGACGTCGTCCGTTGACAGTTACCGTTGACCTTCTCCTCTTTCTCGCGGTAACGCGATCTGTGCCAGAGCGCGACGGGGGAGGGCACGATGTGGTCCCGGTCATCAGTGTTCCCGCTGGTCGTCTGCGTCGTTGCGACGACGGCACTCGCCACAACGGCACCGGGGGTGCAGGAGGTGTGCCGACAGGGTGTCGGCGACGAGCTGATCTGGGAGTATGACGTCAGGAGGCCGCAGCGCAGCGGTGGCTATCAAGTGCGTGTTACCGATTACGTTCGGGGGATACTGTGAGGTTTCCCGCTTCTCGTCGTCGAGAGTTTCGTAATAACATGCACCGATCATGGTGCACTTGTTTTATCCTCGATCGTGCGGCATTATTAATTAAGATCCGAACACTTTCTCTCGAACCTGCCCACAACCGCAGGAGGTCGACGCGGAGTACGGGCCGACGGAGGCGAGGATCACCTGCATCAGGATCGACTCGCTGTCGGAGGAGGAGAATGGCGCCGCGTGGGTGACATTGGGCGGGATTGGTAGCAACTACGTGAAGCTCAAGTTCCGCTCCAGGTACTCGCGGGGTCTTCACTACAGGGTCTACGTCTACGGTCTACGTCTGTCCATTCTGAAGCAAACCTCCGCGCGGCCATCCTCATGAGGACTTCGGCAACCCCACCGGATCACCACCTTTCGTACTTTGCTACACACAAGCACTTCTGTCTGTTTCCACCTTTAGGGTGATATTCATGTAGTCGGATCCTATATTTCAGATCATCTTAAGCGGCAAATTATTTTTTCAGACCGAAAAGCAACAGTATTCAGGAATTTATTTAAAGATAACTACTAAATAAATATGTTTGAACTTTATATATATGTAATTAAGCAACATTTAAATAAAAATATTTATTTTTTTTTGCATGGTGGCAGGAGGTGACGTCACAGCATCTATTGTCTACAGCCCCTGCATGCCTTTCTGGTTTTTATGATCTACGTTTGTACAACAGTTCAATCAAGAAAATTTTTTATAAAATGGTGTAATAGTTATAGTCTCTCTCTCTCGAGCCAGAATTTTTGTTCTTAAATAATTGAATTTTTGGCTCATTTAAAAAAATTAAAATTTCTTGTTAAAATTAGCTTATGTTTTATTTTATTAAAAAAAAAAAAAAAAAAAAAATAAAAATTCTAGCCAAAGAGGTTATAATTATGACACTATTTTATAAGAAAGTTTTTTTATTGTTTAGTTTTCTTTGAATAAATTGCCGAATATTGTTGCTCTTCTTGGTCTGAGAAAGAAAGTTGCTTTCTTAAAACAATCTTAAATATAAAATCGGACTATGAATACCGGATATTAGATATCTGATCGCCTCCTATCACGACAGACTGATCTTAAAATGTATCTCAAAGGAAAGCGTCCAATATTACGTGGCGAAGCGATTTTATATATATATATATATATATATATATATATATATATATATATATATCCTGATATGTTCTTATCGTATTGTTTATATCACTAAGCTACTGTCTACCATTTTGTATCGACGCGTATGTGGATAATTGAATGTTTTTCTACACACGATAATGCATATTGTAGTTTGTCGAAGAATTTATATCCTGAACTTTAATAAAGTTCGCGATTGCAACGCTATTATGAGATATATTTTCCCAGAGGAGGAAGCTTTCAAGCTGCAGCTGTGATATTGCGCGCAAAGTAGTTACGTGGGAGAAAAACTGGTGAAAAACACATATGGACACGTGTACTCAAGCAAACATGGACGGATTATATAATAACATGCTTTCATGTTGGCGTTGAACGGTGTAATGAGCTCGAACGAAATGAGTAGGAAAGTCCACATTTATTTAAATAAATTCGTAATTCACGTCGTTGAGTTAATTTTTCCGACCACGAGAAAGCAGCAGCGCGTCGCACGAATCCTCGCGATCGACACGACGCTGTCGTCCGCGTAATAAATCCGTGGATTTATCGCCGTTCTAATTTAGGACATTCACCCTTCGCGTGCCCCGACAATAAAGATAGAGGAACGAAAAGGTCTCGCGACAGCGAACGACGGATCCTTTTCCAACAGAGAATTCGTCTTCCACCGTCCTGCGTTATTGATAAACGCGATAAGAAATAACAAAATACGAGCAGTGTCGCAAAGATATCACAATGATCCCCAATTTATGGGATCGATGATTCCGCGTAAGGAAATGAAAGTCTAAGGTGTGAAATAAATTTCTCTAATGTCCTTTGAAGAAATCTACTCTGAAAACCAGCGAGTCGACGGTATTGGGTATTAATCAATTAAAATTTTGTTTGATCAAAATAATTGGTGAGTCAATAACTCAGAATTATACGCGCTATTTTCCAATAAACAAATATTCATACGAGAAAACACGAGATTACTTGAGCATACTTGTAAGATGCTCTGAAAATTATCTTTCCCTTAGCGATCAATAAATAGACATAAAATTAAGGTAACACACAATCTTTCTCTTTAATCAGTTTTCCCGAGTCGAAATTTCGGCCCTATGTTAAACCTTGAATTCTACAACGCAGTAGGAGTTAGATTAGCAAAGTAGGTTTAATTCTAATGATACAATTTACTTCTGCTTTGGCTCTGACGATGTGGCTATGCTAAAAAAGCTCGAGGGTACGAGGAGAAAGTTTAGTTTCCGAACGTGACCGGGTGTAACCCACATCCGCGCTCGAATCGGGCCGAATTCCGAAACTAAACTGACGTGACCGCGGCGATAAACCAGCGGGGAACGGATAAAAGCGTCGGATTCCACGTGCGAAGGCGCGGGGACTCTCGAGATTGGAAAAACATAACACGAGCGAGTCGCGCCCGACGGCGGGTGCGGAGGGTTTGGAGGGTAGGTACCATCCGCGGATTGCCTCCACATCGAATCCGAATGGACGAAAGAAATATATTTTCCCTGCGTGCAGGAAATAATTACGTGGTCGAACATGCGAAGCGATATCCGCCGTTCCTTCGGGCAATTACACGAAAAGAAAGTTTGATCGGCTTTGGGCGAGCGGGCGGACGAGCGAACGAACGCGACCAACGGTTTCCATTTGGAGGGTGGAAGAATTTCCTGCTCGTCATTTTGTCGGGTATACGGGGACAATTCCGACGTGAACTCTTTCCCGAACCTAGGCGAAGTCGAATTCGCTCTACCAATTCCCGGACACGTACCTAATCCCGGACGTTCTTCTTGTTTGGGTCTTTAAACACATGGAAAAAAAAGATATAACGCATATAACCAGAAATATTGTCTACCAGAAGAGTTGTGGGTAGCATAGTTGCGTCACCATACACTTAAAAAACTCATTTAGTTGAGTTAAATTAGTAAAGTAGATTTAATTCTAATGATACAATTTACTTTTGCTTTAGCTCTGATGATGTAATTAAGGTATGCTAAAAAAGCTCGTCAAAATTTGGTTAAAATAAGGTGGAACAAATGTTTTAGTTGTGAGAACCAATATTTTATTATTTGAACGAAAGGTTTGATATTTCAAAACGAAAATGAAACAGGTTTAGTTTCAGAGAATCAAATCTTTGATAGAACGAAATTTTGGTCCTCACAACCGAAACATTTTCGACCTTATTTTAACCAAATTTTAGTTAACCCAACTAAATGAATTTTTCAGTGTAGTTATCTTCGTATGTGTGATAATTAATATAGGGTGCAATCCATTAGACGCTACGAATGCTTTAAACTTTAAAGCACTGTAGCTATAAACCAATCATGGCTTTTTTTGGGCGTCTTAAAGCGTTTGCAGCGGTCAAAAGATCTATACTTTTCTGCACATTGAGAGAAAAACGTTTGGTATATACAACTATAATCATATAAAGAAATAATTATTAAAAATTATGATCAAGACAACCATTTTTTAATCAATTGCACTATAATTTTAGTGATAATAGTCTTATATGCACTACTACTATCTTCATGTTGGAACAACAAAAAAATATAGTTGATGTCAAATTGGGCCTCAACTATATTTTTTGGTTGTTCCAACACGAAGTAGTAGTAGTAACATGCATATAAGATTATTACCACTAAAATTATAGTACAATTGACTAAAAAATGGCTGTTTTGACCATAATTTATAGCAATTATTTTTCTATATGATTATAGTTACAAATACCAAACATTTTTCTCTCAGTGCATCAACTACGTTATGCAGTATTTGGTCGTACCGATCTGAAATCGGTTGGAATGACATTTGCCACGGATATACTCCAATTGGAGCAACCAGATATCACTGCTGCAACGCAATTGCTGCCAGCAATTGCTCTGTGGTCGCAGCGACCACATAATTAGTTATTCGTAATTTTACTGTTAAATCTGGCATAACCACGTGACACTCGGGGTCGAAGATTTGAAACCAAGCAAAATATCGTCCTGCCTCGCGGGAGATGTGTGTCGGGGCGCCCCCGTGGCAAGGTGCACCCTTCCACACCCCGCTGCGCGTGGAGACCGCGTTCAGGCGCCAGGGCGGCACGCGATCGCGGAATCAACGGCGGCGGAAACGTCGCGATACTGGCATCGACGGCGCTTTAGTGGAGACCGGCCGCTCGTGGCGAACGCAACCCCAGCAGAAGCACCCCCGTTCTCGTCGGGCTGTGCTGAGTCGAGAAGCCCTGAGGAAACCGTATTGCCGCCAGCCATCCTCCTCGTCATTCTCCCCCATCGCCGAAGGGAGCACTCGCTGGCCTTACCTTCCCGGAGGAACGTCGATCTGGAGACTTCGAGCATCGAAGCGAGCTCGAAAAATGCCCCGGGTGAGTTACACTGATTTTTTTGTCTTCTTTCTCTTTCCTTCTCGCAAGTTCAGCCAGAATAAATAAGCCTGTGTCATCGCATTTCGTACGTTTTAAACGTTTTATTTTTTTATTTTATCCAGGACAAATAATTGCAGCGTTTTACCGAGAACTGTTAGGTCCTCTGATATCTTGAATAACAATCGCTTTGTTATTTAAAACATTAAAATCAGAGATAACAAGGGGGGAAGATTTTAAGATATCAAAGTGAAGAGATATCTTTGACTTGTACATTATTATATCTCCCATCTTTCATATATTAAGACGTCTGAATATGCATCATGGCCATGTTGGATCGTAACGTGAGAAATGACACGCTGAAAATTCTCGCGTGTCATTCTCAAATAAAAAGGTATTTGTATGAAAATACAGTCCACAGATTGCTTGAACATATCTGTAAAATGCTCTGAAAACTATCCTTTTTCCTAACAGTCGATATATAGCTGTAAAATTAACGTGACATGCAACTTTCTTTTTTGAACAACCCTTTGCTCATGATTTATTCATGATTTTGACACGTTGATGTTACGGGTATTTATTAATTGTCAAGGAAACAGAATAGCTTTCGAAGCATTTTACAAGCATGCTCAAGCGACCTGAATGAATTATTTTTGTCCTAGAGGAATCAAACAATATGATTGGAGCCAAAAATAACTATAATTTTAGTTAAATCACCTTTACTTTTAGTGTAAGACTTCAGTTTCGACGTATATTAAACACATACTGTTCCCTCAGAATGCATAGATTAGAAAGTTTAGATGGAGGGTAGAACGAAAATTTCGTCTCGGATTCAACTGACATTCTCAACAGACCGAATCTATCGACGCATCATCGATTCTCGATGTCTAATTGCGTAGGCCGCTCTTATCGCGTAATTGATCGGCGAAGTGTTCGAGTGAAAGGGGTGGTTCTGTATGGTTCGGTTAACGCGCGGCGAAATGAAATCGTTAGCAACATCGGTTAACTAGTTTCGCGCTGAGCGAGAGTTGATTGACTTCTTCCATTAGGCGGAACTGCAGGAACGCTGACACGTAGGAGAGTACGTGGAGGAGAGCCTATCATTACCGTCGTTTCTGTCACGATCGTGGAATCGTAGAAGTCGTAAAAGTTAATCCTCCACTGCCCAAAAAATTTTAATTCCTCATGTTTAGAAAATTTTTCGTGTATATAGGATGTTTGAAACTGAAGTGCTCAATATATACAAAATGAAATTTCACTTTTCTAATTTTTTATTTTTCTACAATAAATTTGTGGCTCTGAGGTCACGTTGGGCAGTTACTATCGTTGCCAACATACTGAAAAAGGCAGCCATAATGTGACTTTCACGTCACATTGCACTGTAAAAACTGATGTGTTAAATTTCATGTGTCTCAAATCATCCACTCTCATTTATGTGTAAATTTAACACAAAACAAATGTGGTAAAAAATAACACAATAATATGTAAAAAATTAACACAAGAATTTAACACTTGAATACCGTCAGGAATCATAGTTTGTGTTAAATTCACATATGTATAATGTTAAATTACTTAAAATAAAACGTTACTTTAACATTTGAGAGAATTATTAATCTACGGTTTTGATGAAATGAAAATATTAAATTGACATAATCTATGTCTGACATATTAAATATGTCAATTTAATACGACCTATGATTCCTAACGTATTCAAGTGTTAAATTCTCATGTTAATTTTTTCCATATTATGCGCGTTACTTTTTAACACATTTGTTTTGTGTTAAATTTACACATAAATGAGAGTGGATGATTTGGGATACATGAAATGTATTCAATTTAACACATCAGTTTTTACAGTGCAATCAAGACAGGAATAATATTCATATTGAAGATAAATAACGATGAAAATAGATTGTGACTTGACATTGTGAGTAGTAGAGGGTTAATGGATGTTTGTATTTTGCGTTCTTTAAAACCGCAAGCGATAATAATTCGTCATGTGACGCGTGTATAAGTCTATTTAAGTATACGATACTGGTACTTGCGTGTACAGTTGATTTCATGTAAAGAAGGCAAATTGTCGAAAATATGCGTGGTCATTGAATCGAATGTGACCACTGGTCTAGTTCACGAAGTATGACGCATTCGCTGCGTGGGAGCGTGTTGACGTAAAATCATAATAATCTATTCTCGAGCAGGGGGTGAACCTGTCACGTGTCGCGACCTCATTCACTGGTCGCGTACCGCGTCCATGTCACATATGTTCTCGAGTCGAAATTTCAACCCTACTTTTAGCCCTACCACACCAATCAACGCTTATTTTGATACTCTGAAACCTACATCAACTTGTTTTGATTCCATATCTACCCGAGTCGAAATTTTGATCCTACTTTTAGCTTCACTATTCTACTCAACAACTATTTTGACTCTAAAGAAAGTGAAAAGAGAGATTTCGGATATCATCAGAATAAGTGGAAGTCAATTGTATCGTTGGAATTAAACCTGGTTTACTATTTAGTTCCTACTGTAGAATTCAATGTTCAATATAGGATCAAATTTTCGATTTACAAAAAAAAAGCCATTTCGCGTGTGTTGACGACCTCCAGGTGTATCTTCCGCGTTTGCAAAATGTATGTGATTGGAGAGAAAAAAGACGTGTAACATGTTTCACGTTTCCCCATATGTAGATTGAATTCGGAATATAGGTTTGGGATATAACTTCCAGCATATTTCGCGGGAGAAGAGGGGCGAGCGAGAGAGAAAGAGAGAGAGAGACTGATAGTGGCGAGGCAAATATATGACATATGCCGCAAATTGCGTGCGTAATAATACACGCGCACTTACTTCACATGCGTGCATTTGCACGAAACGCATCCCCACGGTAGTGCGCACTTTAACACGTGCACCGACATATTCGCCACCGTAAAGTACGATCGATACGGTAACGCGAGCAGTTCGGGTGCGGTTTCACCTTTCGTAAAGCCGATTTCTCGCCTTGTCGCCGAGGCGAAGGGATTTCGGCAATGTTGGGTATTAATTGGGAAAAATCCCCCTCGACTAAAATAATGAGCGAATCAATGAACCAAATTAATCAATTAATAATTTTAGTCAAAGAAAATTTTAGTCGACTAATGAGCACACTGGACTCATCGGCCGAGGAGAGTTCTTTCGCGATCGGGGTAGCCTTCACGCTCCACACTGAGAGAAAAATGTATGATATTTGGAACTATAATGGCATAGTAAAAATATTACAGTTAGGAATATAATTTTTATAGTAAATGTTACCATAATATTTGTAATATTTACAATATAAGTATAGTATAACTGACCCGTGTAAAATTTTTACCAAAAATTATAATTATTTGAAATAAAAAATATGGTAAGGTGGCAAATATTGAATGGTAAGAGAAATTAACTATTTTATATAGTCAATACAATTGGAATATTTGGCAAATATAGGTACATGTAACTATATTCCCAAAAGGTACTTTACCATATATATAGAGTAATAAGATGGTGACTATAAATCTGTGTTCATTCTACTATATCTTCATGTTTAGATGAACTATAAATATATGTTTGAGGCCAAAACGAACTATAAAATATAGTGAGATTATAGTTATTCCAACTATTTTTTTCTCTCAGTGCACCGAATTGCGTACGTCGAAAAATAATATGATTTTATACTTAGGAGAATTCCTTTATGTGGCCTTAAGAGAATTCTTCTAAAATTAAAAAGAAAATATCCTAACATCCAAAAAAGGACTCTAATTGCAAAGTGCTATTTCTTGTGATCTCATATTCTAAGTGAAAACAGAGCATTTCTCTTCCAATGAAGAGGAATAATATCGTGCTTAGAATATATATTTTTTTTATTTTAGAAGTCTTTTCTTTAGCCTATATACGACTATCGCTAATGATGATATTACATTTATTATACCTCTTTATGAGGGCAAAAAGGACGTTATCGCACGCGACTGTGAAAATGCCGCGATTTGCAAATCTGCGGGCACAATGTCCATCACATAATCGAGTCTTAGCATGCTGATGCAATGTTTCGATTGATATTCAACTATCTACACGGCAAAAAGAAAAAAATATATATCTATTTTCATATATTACAAATATACATGTCTAGCGACAAATATCTGCGAGATTCTCCGTTATCGAAGCTGTAAGGAAGAAAGAATACGAAAGATGTTTAACAAACGACAAGGCAACGTTTATGCAATAAACAGCATATTATTGAGTACATGAAGTCGCGTGTTGTTGCAATTCGGCGATTTTTCTTTCGTATTCATTTCAGCTGTTTCTACGATTATTGCGTTTGGACATGAGCGATTATAACGACCACTCGTGACTCGCGTGACATTTCAACGTGCTAGACTTCGGATCTTCGCCAAACTTAATCATTGGACATTGACCACGAGTAACTTCCGCGTGAGAGGCAACACTGCTCCTTCTTTTCTTTCTTCCTTTTTTAAGATTACAATTGTCGCTACTGCGAAATTACGAGCCGCGATCATGTAACAATTTCAAAATCCGCTGCGTTCGCGAATTATATTTTTTTGCATAACCGGACGCAGCTAATTAGCTGCGAACGTCAGCTAAAAATCGTGAGCGCTCATATGGCACTTTGCGATCTGTCTCGCATCCGAGAGAGAGGAAAGGAAAAAAAGAGAGAGAGAGAGAGAGGCAGGCAGAAGGAAAGAGAGGGAAATGCAAAGGTTGATGTGCAATAAAAATACGTGACATACAACAAAATCATCATTCGGCGCGTGATAACACGCGTAAGCGCCACATAGACGCCCGTAATCTCTGATTCCAGCGATTTTTCGTCGATTTTTCGTCGATTTTTCGCACGGCGCACGATAAAGTGTCATCGCGGGATGTGTAATCGCGCAAAAGTCCACGGATTCATTTTTTTTTTCGGTGGCGGTTGTCAATTTTATGATAATAATTAATCTCTTAATAAAGTTCGCTAGAACATGATAACGTCGGAGAGAGAAAATCGCGAATTCGAGCTCACAGTCACGCGAAGACTCGCGAGGAGAAATCGCAGGTTAGACAAAAGTTACCTCTCCAAAGCAACTCGTTACCGCTAACAACAAAACAAAGTTATCGCTAACGACAATAGCGTTGCAGGTAACACGTTATTTTCCAATTCTGAGAGTATGGACGTACTTTGCACGTTTTCGCGATGTCTTTCAGACGCGAAAATTTGCGTTATTACGGGGCTACGTCAAAATGCATTTGAACAAAATAGAGACTCTCCTGTTGTCCTACATTTACACTGAGAGAAAAATATATGATATTTGGAACTATAATGGCATAGTAAAAAGATTATAGTTAGGAATATAGTTTTTATAGTAAATGTTACCATAATATTTGTAATATTTACAATATAAGCATAGTATAACTGACCTGTGTAAAATTTTTACCAAGAATTATAATTATTTGAAATAAAAAATATAGCAAGTATATAGCAAATATAGTAAATATTGAATGGTAAGAGAAATTAACTATTTTATATAGTCAATACAATTGAAATATTTTGCAAATATAGGTACATGTAACTATACTCTCAAAAGATGCTTTACCATATATATAAAGTAATCAGATGATAACTATAAATCTGTGTTCATTCTACTATATCTTCATGTTTAGATGAACTATAAAAATATGTTTGAGGCCAAAACGAACTATAAAATATAGTGAGATTATAGTTATTCCAACTATTTTTTTCTCTCAGTGTAAAGGAAATAGCACTTCGCAACTAGGGTTCTTTCATTTTTGAATGTTGGAATATTTATCCTTTGGTTTTCGAAGAATCCTTTTGAGGACGTGAGCACTCCGCAAGAGTAAAATCCCAAGTAGGAATCGTATACGTTTCGCCAGTACGGAAACATGGCCCGATACTGGATCGACACCGAAAAGCGGATGTCCGGTTTTGGTACTGGCTCAGTACTGAGTCTAATATAAAAAAAAGCTGTATTATTGATACTGGCTCCGTACTAAGGTTAGCTACTGGATAGTCGTACCGTACGTATACTGGGGCGTTACCGAAAAATGTATGTCGTTTTCGGTACTGGTCCAATATTAAAAAAGCTATATTATTGGTACTGTTTGTACACTGAGAGAAAAATGTATGATATTTGGAACTATTGGGTGGATCCATTCGTTCGGTTTTTGAAGGCTAAAATGAAACAAGTTTTTTTCATACAAAGGATGAATTTTAATCAATGATATATTCTGCGTTTTTGTTGATGACCTCTTGCCATCTTTCCAACAATTTCATTATTCCGCTCTCATAGAAAGTCTGGGGCTTAGAGGCGAAAAACCGGTCGAGGTACGTTTTCACAGCTGTCTGATCAGCGAACGATTTCCCGTTGAGGGAGTTTTGCAGGGACCGGAACAAGTGGTAGTCGGATGGCGCAAGGTCTGGTGAATACGGTGGGTGGGGCAAAACATCCCAGCCAAGTTGCACTAATTTTTGCTGAGTGATTATTGCGGTGTGGGGTCTGGCGTTGTCATGGTGGAATATGACACCTTTGCGATTGACCAGTTCTGGACGTTTCTGTCGCAATGCTTGATTCAATTTCGTTAGCTGCGTGCAGTAGACCTTCGGATCGATCGTTTTTCCCTGAGAAAGCAGCTCGTAAAACAGCACACCACGATGATCCCACCATATGGATAGCAAAATCTTCTTCGAATGCAGGCCGGCTTTCGGGGTGGCATTCGGCGGCTCGCCAGCGGTTCCCCATGATCTTTTGCGCACTATGTTGTCGTAGATGATCCACTTTTCGTCGCCAGTCACTATTCGTTTGAGAAACGGGTCGCTTTCGTGCCGCTTCAGAAGTGAATTGTAGATGGATATGCGGTTGGCCAGGTCAGCTCGGTCAGCTTGTGCGGCACCCAAACATCGAGGCGGGACACGTAGCCAAGCTGTTGCAAATGCCTTTGAACGGTTCCATAACCTATTTTAAGTGTCTCCGCAATCTCTCACATCTTTAGCGTCCGGTCTTGCTCAACCAGTGCCTTGATATCATTCGAATCAACCTCGGTGGGCCGACCGTTGCGGGGTCCATCTTCAAGACTCGTATCTCCGGAACGAAATTTGGCAAACCATTTCTGAGCGACACGTTCTGTTAAGGCATCGTCCCCGTATACGCCGCATATCTTTCAGTGGGCCTCTGCAGCTCGCTTGCCTTTCTTGAAGTAGTAAAGCAAAATATGCCGAAAATGCACCTTATTCTCCGACATGTTCACAGGCCTGTAGCACAAACAAAACTAATGCCAATGAAACCAAATTTGACAGATGAAAAGAGCGGACTGTCACCTTTCCAAAACATATTTGGATTGCCCGATTAGGCAACTAGAACCGGAGATATTCGGAAAAAATTTGCACTACTAACAAAAACCGAACGAATATATGGATCCACCCAATATAATGGCATAGTAAAAAGATTATAGTTAGGAATATCTTTTTTATAGTAAATGTCACCATAATGTTTGTAATATTTACAATATAAGCATAGTATAACTCCATGTAAAACTTTTATCAAGAATTATAATCATTTGAAATAAAAAATATAGTAAGGTTTCAAATATTGAATGGTAAGAGAAATTAACTATTTTATATAGTGAATACATTTAAAATATTTTGAAAATATAGATACATGTAACTATATTCCCAAAGGGGGCTTTACTACATACATAGAGTAATAAGATGGTGACTATAAATCTGTTTTAATTTTGCTATATCTTTATGTTTAGATGAACTATAAATATATGTTTGAGGCCAAAACGAACTATAAAATATTGCGAGATTATAGTTATTCTAACTATTTTTTTCTCTCAGTGTAGATAGCTCAATGGTAAGAACGCTTGCCTGACAAGCGGAAGACTCGAGTTCGATTCCAGCCGTCGCCCGGAACATTTTTTCCTCATATGACTATTAAAAATAAACCTGTGTAGGTACGAGAGCAGCCCCGGCCATGGTCTGATCTTTCTTTCCATACTATATATGATGTTAACAATTGTACAAGTAATAAAAATTACTAGGAATCGATACTGGCCCAGTATTGGGAATAAATACTTCCCCAGTGCTAGGAATCAATATTTTTTTTATAGCGGTACAGTACTGATTTTCGGTATTGTGACAGTACTGTTTTCCGATACTGTCATTTTCTATCATCCCAGTATCACACCAATACCTAACTCGTACTGGCATCTGGTACTATGCCAGTAACGTTTACCATAAATCGGTACTGGGCCACTTTGATGCCAGTAGTAAATTCCTACTTGGGATTATATCTGTTTAGATGGTGAATTCAGTCGCGATACTGTATATAGAATAAGTTCTAACTAGAATGAAAGTTGAAATTTGAACTTAGAATTCAAAGAATAAAAAGGCGCAACAGGAAAGTTCAAAAGACCTAACAGGAAAGTAGTTTTAAAAAGAACTTGTTTTTATCGTAATTGGTTTTTTTGCTTGCAAAATCGTTGAATTCGCGCTATCGTCATTATCGCGGCTTCCACGAAATTATACGTTTCGTGAGAAAATGGCAGGAAGTCGTATCTGGACTCACTGCACGTGGTCGAGGGCGAACATTCCCCTCTCGCGAAGGACCACGTGGCCGCGAATATTCGTCGGCGCGAATTCCCTCACGCCACGGCCGATAGTCGTGGACTGCGATCGGCCGCGTTTCTTCTTATCACGCGCTTATATATCCCTCGCGTTCAATCGATATGTCCGTCATCGCCGAAATTCGCACACCGTTTGCATCATAAATTTCGTACGACGCAACAGGCTACGTGACTTTCGCGCGGCGCCGACCTTTCAACGTCGTCTCCGTGGCGCGGAACTTCTCAGCACGCGTATACGGTATCGCGACCTGCATGAATTCTCGACTTTGTTCTGGCTGCCGAGGCGGGAGAGGAAGGAAGCGCGGAAGGGGAAAGGAGAAAAAATAAATTAATACAGACTCCCCTACAATCCGTTAAAAAGCCGCACGCGTGCGTGCGAGCGTTTCCCCACGACTCGTGGTGTCGGTCTCTCCTTATCGTCATCGGGATGAAGCGAGAAAGTCGAGAGAAAGAGGATAAAGGCGATATGGTCTCGTTGACCCACGGAGCCATAGTCTGCAAAAACTTATACACTTATATACCGAGACAGACGTCCGTCCGGCCCGATCCGGCCTGATCCTCCTCTCGCGGAGGAATTTCCATCCTCCGGCCGTCCGCGTGCTGATTAGACGACGAACTACAAGGAGAGGTAACAAGAGGTTGCGGTTGACGAGTATTTTTCCTCTCCGAGCGACGTACATCTCGATTTCTACCTCCTAGCTCGCTTGCGCGAATTTTCTTAGAGGGGACCGGGTTCAATTGGCGTTTTGTTTATGTGCTTGTTATGCACTGAGAGAAAAATGTATGATATTTGGAATTATAATGGCATAGTAAAAATATTATAGTTAGGAATATAATTTTTATAATAAATGTTACCATAATATTTGTAATATTTACAATATAAGTATAGTATAACTGACCCGTGTAAAATTTTTACCAAGAATTATAATTATTTGAAATAAAAAATATGGTAAGGTGGCAAATATTGAATGGTAAGAGAAATTAACTATTTTATATAGTCAATACAATTGGAATATTTGGCAAATATAGGTACATGTAACTATATTCCCAAAAGGTACTTTACCATATATATAGAGTAATAAGATGGTGACTATAAATCTGCGTTCATTCTACTATATCTTCATGTTTAGATGAACTATAAATATATGTTTGAAGCCAAAACGAACTATAAAATATAGTGAGATTATAGTTATTCCAACTATTTTTTTCTCTCAGTGTGAGAGAAGCAGAGAAAAAGGAATCGCAAAATGTTCCTTTTATAGAGTGTACACGGAAAAAATATAGTGGTAAAGATTACGTTGAAATTAATTTATCTGTACAATGTTTATCTTGAAAGCTGAACTGTGTGTTGAAATTTTGCTATAAATTGCTGTAAGAAATATGAAACGATTCATCTGGTATACATTCAAGTAATTACAATCATTTCATAGTAAAAAGTCAAACGTGCATCACGTTTTCAAACAAATATATGGTAATTTTGGTTATGATTCTAGTCTAAAATTGTAGAAATTTTGTTATAACTTTTACTGAAATATTTTCTCCGTGTAGAGATATTTTCACTTGTAGTTTCAGTAAAATAAAAAAATAAATATTGTAATTGAAGAAGAGAAAAAAGACGGATTTGAGAGTAGCCGAGTAAATTTTTTAGCAGCTCGCAATTTTATGTTAATTCTTCGTTGTAAGTGAATAAATTCAAGTGACGTGTTGATTTTAGTTAGAATGATTTTTGCTACTGTTATATAGTATACGATTTTGCGTGATAAAATTTGTTTTTATTGATAAAATTATTAAAAGCGAGTATATAGACAGACAAGATAAGATGAATCCAGATATGACTTCCTGCCATTTTCTCACGAAACCGTATAATTTCGTGAAAGCCGTGATAACGATAGCGCGAATTTAACGATTTTGCAAGTAAAAAATCAGTTACGATAAAAAGTTCTTTTTAAAACTACTTTCCTGTTAAGTCTTTTGGACTTTCCTGTTGCGCCTTTTTATTCTTTGAATTCTAAGTTTAAATTCCAGGTTTCATTAATCAAGTTTCATTCTAGTTAGAGCTTATTCTATCAATTATTACATGAATTCCCTTGACTCTCCGCTCACCTGAAAATCTACCCGAGAAGCAACCGTTGCTCCTTAATGCGTAAGAAATGTATGTCGGATAAACAAAATTTATGTTTTATCTCGAGAGAGACGGCCTTCCGACATGACTATCACAGCTAACACGAAAACTGCGTATAACGGACTTCAAAACCGGATATTTTCGTAAAAAAGTTGCAAAAAATACTATTGCCTACAAGATACGCTATCGTACGACGATGCGTAATAATGTAGACGCTCTCTTTCCTCTCTCTTTTTGTCTTCCAGTCTGGGTCGCCATTGATATTGCGAACATGTGAAGATTTGTACTTTGAGTTTGACATGTCCACACTTCATTTGTCACTTCTGACAAATGCAAATTATCTGAAGTCATTCAAAGTCAATCTCAAAGTCCACCATTAAACTACGTGCTGCGCGACGCGTCTAAGGCGGGAATGAACGCGATTGTTTATTATTTAATATTGGATAACTACATATCTGCAATCTTGGACTTTAAACATGTACATTAATAAATAGAGAAATAGAGGTTGATAGAGGACGCGAAAACAAAAAAAGATCAGTTATGAACAACATCAAATATCAACGGCATCGATCAACAATATCACGAGAATCGAAGAACAATGTAAATTGCGCATTTCCAACTTCCCTGAGTTAGAAATTTATCCTAATCAGATTGATTCCAACCAGTTATCTACACTGAGAGAAAAATGTATGATATTTGGAACTATAATGGCATAGTAAAAAGATTATAGTTAGGAATATAAATTTTATAGTAAATGTTACCATAATATTTATAATATTTACAATATAAGCATAGTATAACTAACCCGTGTAAAATTTTTACCACAAATTATAATTATTTGAAATAAAAAAATATAGTAAGGTAACAAATATTGAAAGAGAAATTAACTATTTTATATAGTCAATACAATTGGAATATTTGGCAAATATAGATACATGTAACTATATTCCCAAAGCGTGCTTTATCATATATATAGAGTAATAAGATGGTAACTATAAATCTGTGTTCATTCTACTATATCTTCATGTTTAGATGAATTATAAATATATGTTTGAGGCTAAAACGAACTATAAAATATAGTGAAATTATAATTATTCCAACTATTTTTTTCTTTCAGTGTAGTTTGTAGACTAGGATAAAAAACTATCTAAAAATAGAAAATATTTATTATATAACATATTTATTTATATATATAACATATTTATTTAAATTTAAATTCTTTTCTTTAAATGGAGTAAATAATTGCCTTCACAAAAAGCTGAGGTATTTTTGAGGTTTTAAGAAAATATATATTTTTTTATTTGAAAGATATTTTATATGTTAATATAAGTAAATATCTTATTATAGTACACACTCACCAAATAAATATTTGTTATTTAATATTTTAATTAACCGGTCAATATAACAGCTGTAATTTTTAATTAGTGCGCTTAATAATAGTTGTAAAAAAAATCAAAAGTGGTAGTTGGATTGGAATCGAGATTCGGTGAACAGAGAATCGACTGGTCGTAATCAATTTGATGTCATGCTTATTAAGCTCATTAATATCAAGACTTTGTGATAATTCTGTATAAACTTCGATTTTAGCGCAAACATTCCCCGATCCTCTTCATGAGAATCGAATGCTCTAATGCTTCTTATGCAAGGAACGCTTTATCCAAGCGATATTCCGAGTTATTTATTGCAGATTCCAAGATATCGCGCTGACAGCAGCAAAATTAAATATAGTCGCTGCGCGAATCGCAGACGAGACGGTTCAATTTCACGTCGCCATTTCTGCCAATCCTTTTTTTTTGAGGGGGGGGGGATACTTTCTTCCATCCTCCCGCGGGGAAATCGGATCTCGTTCCTTCCGAGCGAAGTGTTTGAGCTTCAAGAACGGCGTGAGTCGGCCGGTGTCTAGTTTCTGTCTTCCCTACGAAGGGCTTCCGGTATCTGACATCTGAGGGCGAATGGAAGTAGAAGAAGCTCGGAGTCACTACCAGGCACTGAATGGCACCAATCGATATATGCCCAGCCAGGTATCCGCCAGGATATCACCGCCGAATATACCCGCGACTTGACTTCCGCGTACGAAAACCTCCTCTCTGTCTCTCTGTCTCTCTCTCTCTGTCTTTCCTTCTCTCTCTCTCTCTCTCTCTCTCTCTCTCTTTCCCTCTCTCTGTTTTTCTTTCTCTCTTCGTGCGACTTGATGTCTTCACGATGACTAGATGTGCTATTGTGAATCGCGGCAACACGCCACCGCACTCTTCGCGCCATTCGGAACGTCAACCACCCCCGGACTGAACTTTGCCCTGCTGGGCCTGCTGGCTTGAATAAAACTCGCGTGTTCACTCCGCGATTTGCAGTTTTCGCCGCGGAACTCCGCGCGATTATCAATATCGCCTCATTGTCGCTCTCATGTCTCTCGCTTCTATTACAAGTTGAATGCACGAAATGGCGTTAAGAGACTTTCAATTTGCGGCGCGGAGGCGCCTTTTATGAGCGGCCGAGTGTATGCAATGCACATACAAGAACAGGAATTAAAAGTCACACGGGGAGCCGTGATACAGTTGAGAAGTTGGTTACATCGAACTTGAGACTCATTGCAATTTTCATGAAAAGAACTACGATTCAACGGTGTGAAAATAATTCAACCTTTAACAGAGAGCAACTTTTAACACGCTAATCGCGTTGATATCCAATGATTACGTAAGAACTTAATTGCTGGTCAAAAATAATTAAGAATATGCTAAAGAAATGTATACACCGTATTCGATTTATTCTATCCGAAGGTTAATTACGTAAATAGAGTGGTATTTCAAATAAAAAAGACAAAACAAGAAAATTAATGAGGAAGTTAAGAAGCAATTTCAAGTCAAGTCACGTAAATTTAAGGAAACTCTTCTAGGAGAAATTCTTTTAAAAATGGCAATCCCTTACAAAAATAACACCAAAATTGCGGCTACTTTATTGATTTCCCTATTTTGACTTTTTCATTTGAAAAAAAGTCACTGTGATAATATGAAATGTAGAAAAAAATACAGAATAAATTATCAAGCTTTCAAGTGCACAATCAAAAACGTAGATAAAAACTCAAGATGTCGACAATAAGATGTCGCAAAATATCGATTACGTTGGCTCTTGTTGGTTTTCTTATCAACGTTTAATTGTGCAGGAGATCGAACTTGGCGAGATTTACGACGCGGTCGGACCACGGCGACCGTTCATTTTCGCGACCGATTGCGTGCAGTTACCGAGTCGGCTCATGAGAATCTCGCAGCTGGACTAACAGGCGTCATGAGGTGAACCGCAGGTGCGGGTCGGCGATTTCGACGCTTCGCATCGCGAGAAGTCGATACGCGCAACATTCAAGTGAATAATCACTGATCGTTGATGAAGTAATAAGCATATCGCGTCGAACGATCGCCTGTAACGTACACTCAGTTGCATTGACGCTATACCATTCACCAGATCAATAGTCACTAGAAAGTTTCAACCGTGTCCGTTTCTTGCTGATCGTTTTTCATGACTCTTGATTCATCCGGCAAGTGGGAACGTGTCAAAACAGATATATGTCAAAGTGACATTTTGACAGGTTGACGTTCCATACGAGTTAATAATAATTTAATAATTTAATAAGTATAACTTTTTGTATATATTAACTTCTTACTTACCTTTTTTAACATTCTTACTCTTCTTCTACTGATTGCGCATTACACGTGAGCGAGTAATCTTCTGACAAAAACACGTATGTATGAAATGTCCAAATGTCACTTCTGTTTCGACACATTCCCGCTTGCCTGATGAATCCACAGTCATGAAAACCGATCAGCTACACTGAGAGAAAAATTATCTTAAAATTAACAAATATTTCCTTGGTGGGTGCCATTAACATATTTACTTAAATCTATATTCTCTTTACTTAAATCAAATATTGTTTATTTAAATCAAGTAAACAATATTTGATTTAAGTAAAGAGAATGTAGATTTAAGTAAATATGTTAATGGCACCCACCAAGGAAATATTTGTTGATTTTAAGATAATTTTTCTCTCAGTGTATAAACGGACATGGCTGGTTGAAATTTTCTAGTGATTATCAATCTAGTGAATAGTATAGCATCAATGCAACTGAGTGTACACGTTATCCGAATGCCGAATGGTCCAATTGGCCACCTAAAAAAGAAAGAACTGCAGCTGCAAGGTGCCATTTCCTGTAGTCCGATATTCTATGCGAAACTTTCACCGAAAGATTATTTCTATTCTAATATTCGGAAATCTATTAGATAAATTTAACTTTCCCCCTTTTAAATCAAGGGGAATATGTTTATGAGAAACGCGACAAGTAAGACACTGGATAAAAAAGTAACTAGAAAATTTATTTGTAGGATATAAGATTTATTTCACAGAAATAAAATTTATATTTTAATGTAATTTATATTTAAATATGAAGAAATCGATACGCGTTTGTTTCACAGGAACAAACTTTGTATCCCACAAATAAATTTTTAAATATTTTTCTTCGATTAAAATAAGATTATATTTGTTTGAATATCTTGATTATTCACGTTGTGACGCGACAGAATCAATTTATTTGACTCAAGAATCGTACGTATCTTCAATCACCGTTGTCCTATCTGCACACAAGAAAGTGCGATAATAAAGCGCGAGTCAGATTCGTCACGAGCGGAGAGAGCGCAGAAGAAACTCGGTAAAATGTTTGCTGATCTTATTTTATTATCCGAGGGATGCTATCTCGCGATGTGTGTTTGCACCCCAAAACGGTTAAGATAAAGAAATAATAATAAGACGGCCGATTGTGCATTATACTTGTGTATATATTTACCGGCGATCGCGTGCGCGAATCGCTATCGTCGTAATTTAATTATGATAACCCGCCCGTATACAATTTTTTTCGAGAGATGCGCGTCAAAAAGAGAAAGAGACGATGTGTTTTTCTTCCTGCGCGAGAGTAACACCGCGACGATTGCGTTTATCGTGCCTCGATAAACGACATTGCCGCCGACACGGCAATTATCTAACGGCAAAATCGCCCAACGGTCACGACACACGCTTGTAATTCGCGACTCGCGCTTAAATCGCGCCCGCTGATAAGGCCCCGTAAGCGCAGATACACCGGAGTGCCGCTCACCGATGATAACGTTGTGGTAATGACCGAATGTTTCATCGCCCGTAATTATACCGGCCCCCACGTGATCCAGCCGCGTTAATTCGCTCGTTTTCGCCCGCGGGCCGATTACCACCGCGCGTTAATAAGTTTCTGCCCCTCGCCTTCCGCCCCGAACGACCAATCTGTCGACTCTTTCCCCTTACGCGACTTAACGTCCATTTATCGCGCGTTTCGCGCGCGCCCGAGACGAGACAAGACTCGCCTCGATCTATTTTTTTCTCGATGTTCGAATGGATGATGTTGGAATTCTTTAAAGCTCCTGCTTCCTCACCGCGGCCAGTGGACTCGATTTATGACAATAAAAATGCACGCTAAGAGTTCTCGCAAAATATGTTGAAAGCAAATGATATGTTCACAAAATGACTTGCAATCGAATACAACTATAAAAGCTCGAAGAATTTCCTTTTGTTTCAATAATCAATAAACAACTGTAAAATTAACGTGATAGAATCATGTGGAAACTAAGCTAAGGGGTAGATTGCATGTCACGTTAATTTTATGTTAATTTATCGATTTAGATCACAAGAGAAAGTGTTCGAATTATTTGCCGATCGATTGCAAGTGTCGGTTTATGGAGATATCTTTTTATTTCAACATATTTTGCGACGACTTTTAGCTTGTATTTCCTCGCTCCTACATCTCGAAAAAAAAAAATCAATTCCATTAACGTGACTGAATTTTCCGTTATCTGGTAATAATAAAGACTAGATGGAAAATTCTGTCGTACATTGAGAAAAAGATATTTGAGAATTTATTTTTAGAATATAAAATTTACTTCTGTGAAACAAACTTTATAACCTACAAATATATTTTCAAGTATTCTTTTCCAAGTGCAGAAGATTCCTACTCAGTCAATTGTTTTCAGTTATCATAACGAAGTTTTGGTATGTACAGCTGAGTGTTCAGATAAATATTTTCAATTGCGACCACAGAGATATCATTTTATTGTTTTCCATTCAACTGTTCTCCATATGATGTCATCGACCAGAGTTCCGCGATGGGAAACCAAAAAATTTAATTTCAAATAGAAAAAGAAGTTTAATTACGATGCATATTTTGATATTCGCAGAGCAAAATCTTTCGTCCTAGATCCTCTATAGAGATACACGACATGACGCGATCCGACGTCGCGAGCACGATTATGATCGTTAATTGATGTTTTGCTATTATATATTAGCAGATTATGCGCCGCGAGACAAAACACGGACAGTGCGTGTTTAGAATCTTATTATGCGGATTTGTTTCGTCTTCGCGGCGGCGACGATAGCGGCGTATTTCGGTGTCACGCTGAAATGTCGAAGAGTCCTCGCGCCGTGATTAACAAACAAGCTGACCTATCGTAACTATTGAACATGTTGAAACGTCCAGCGAGGGGCCACGAGTTCAGCTATTACGGCGACAAAGATCTACGAACGAGAGAGAAAAAAAGCTGCGCTCGACGCGGATGTAGATTAGCGTCGTGGTTGTTTTAATACTTAATGGGTTTTAATCTGCTCGTAAATTATTCCCAACGAAAAACAGATTATTGTCTCTGTAAGTTAATTGTGCTGATAAACGCGATGTCGATCCGTTGGAAATTGGGTAAGATATGTTAATTGCATATTATAATACAGATACCGTGTAAAAATACGCTGAATCTTAAAATAATATTTTTTTTGAAAGTTAACTCTGAAAATGCGAAATCACATTCGATAATGAAGAAATTACGTATTTTTCATGTAAATAATTAAGTATCATTAACTGAAAAAAATTATGTTTAACAGAAGTAATTGTATGCATGCGAGTGCAATGATTGACTGATATCTGATTTGTCTTTGCACTAATCCCTTATGTTATGTTATTAAACGGAGTTACATGTACGTTACAGCCAGTTTCTAAAGGAACTTCACAATTATCGGCACGAGGACAGATGGAAAGGCGGCGGCCACCGTTTCTCAGAGCTTCCAGCAAAGCCAAGGAGGTAAGAAACAATGTTGCAAAAAATCGCGAGTATCGATAAAAATTATGCGAAATAACCACTTGACAAAGAAAACTAATGGAACGTAAACCTCGAAATCCAAACGGTTTATCCGAGCAGCACAAAAAAATTGTTAATCTTAACGACGGATTCTAGTTGAATCTATAGCGGCTGCCCAATGCTTTTGATGATGGTTCGACGTTGCGAAAAAATACTGGATCGGGTTGTCATGCTGGTTAACTAATGATTAGCATTTGGTAAAGTATTGGATTTTGAATTTAGCCGACATTATGCCAACGATTGGAAAGTGACCCAAGCAGTGCAAAAAATTATTGAATTGAAACAAATTAGCTGAAGAATTAAAAAATTAAATTGAATTCTTTAAATTTCAATTTTTGAATACAAAGTAATGCTTACCTTTTAACATTTGGAGAAAAAAGAAGGAATGGGATAGGTAGAAAAGGTCAGAAGTCATTGGCAGGTCCCGGAAAATTATTGTCCGCTTCTGTAAGAGAAAATTAAAAAAAAGAGGTAATAATTGTGCATTACGAATTAATATTATTGACTTTTTATTTACACGAATAACTTCAAATTTTTAACATAATTCTTAGGTTTCTAAGTTTGTCTTAAACACTTTCGTACTGAAAATATCATTTCATCTTTATCGCTCATTATACAAATTGAAGGTGGTTGAATCATACTTTGAACACGAAAATGTCTAAAATGGATTTAACTTTAATGTACACATTACTTGAGTCGCATTCGTAAAGTCGCAAGTTACATTAATTAAGAATTTAATTTCACAACTTTCTTTCATGTATTGTCGTAATTATTATTAGATATACAAATAAACAATCCGTTATTGGAAAGGTTAGAACCATATAAGCCTATAGGCTTGTAACCTTTTGTTGATTTTAATTAATGAACTATTAGTATTGTCAATAACTCATTGATTACCCTCTCTTTATATAGCTTATCCGCTATTTCTGCCAAATTTATTGATTATTATAAAGACTTACTAAAATTATTCGATTATCAAAGTAGTTTCCGAGTGTAATAATATTCGAAGATCCCATAATGCAACGGGTCTGTTCTGTACTGTGAAAGTGTACTGTGTTACACTTTCTGTGCTTATAAAATAGATTTGAGGATTCACATTGCGCCCAACATCTGACGTCCAATAGAAGAGTTTGTTTTCTAGAAATAAAACTGTAGCTAACTAGAAACCTAGAATCTGAGTTCTCCTATTGGATATCGTATGCCATATGTGGAATGTCAGGTGCGATGTAAATTTCGCGGAGTAGTTCGATAAATTTCCGTCATCGATGTCATGACAACCGGCAATAAACAGTAAACAGAATCCTAACCAAATTTAAAATGTGTAATGTGATATTTTTAATCGATACACATCTTTCCTTCCATTCACATTCTGTGTCGATATGATACTTATGTATATTATTATGTATATTTTAAAAATATAATCCTGTAATATAAATTACATAGAAGATATGTCGAATCATTATCATCAACAATATAAAAAAATTAATGATTTAAAATCATACAATGGAAATGAACAATGAAGTAAAAATGATTTCTTGGTAAGAACTTTATGTCTATTTTATCTTCTACTTACAATTCTATAAATAAGAGATTGTCTAACATTGAATTAAAAAAGTGAAATTTCATGGTATATTAGATGTGTAAGTTAAAATATTTTTTCAAACATATGATTTTATAACAGAATAATGCATGATTATGATGTAAAAATCATTAATAATGGATTTTCTAAGAAAATTTGTATTTTTATAGACAGAACGAGGCAGTGGAACAAAGATGGATTCTGCACGCAGCGGAGGTGTCATAGAAGAGCAAAGCAGTGACGAAGATCTGTCACCTGATGCATTGGTTAGACAAAATTATGAACTTCGTCACCGGCTGGAAGAGGAAGCTGCAAGCTACAAAAGACGTTTAGATACATATCGACAAGCCCAGCAACATCAAGCAGCTCTTGTCTCACGTTTACAAGCTAAAGTAAGCATTGTGGATATTTTACATATAAAAGTTCAACCTACAAATTTGTTTACAATGAACAAGAAATAATCAAATGATGTTTTAGGTTTTGCAATATAAACAAAGATGTTCAGAACTAGAAAATCAAATGGCAGAAACAATTCCATGTGACACTACTAGCAAACCAACAGCTGTTGTATCTTCTACTTCTGCATTAGATGCTGCTCATCAGACACTTCGTGACCTACGTGAGGAGCAAATTCATGATTTGGATACTGCCTTAAAGAAACTTGGAGAGGAACGCCGGAAGTATGTAGAAGTACAATTTAGAATAATAGTGAATATCTCTTGATTAATATTAAAAATTGTGATGTAATGTAAATACGCATACATATACATTTTTGTGTTGCAGATGTGAAAAGCTTTTGCAGTTAAATACATCTCTGAAGGATCAGCTGGAAGAATCTCACCAAACGAACGAGACACTGACTAACGATTTGCAGAAACTAAGCAACGATTGGGATATATTGCGCGAGGAATTGGCGATTAAAGAGGATGAATGGAAGGAAGAAGAGCAAGCGTTCAACGAATATTACACTTCTGAACATAACAGATTATTAAACCTTTGGCGTGATGTTGTATCTGTTAAACGATTATTTGCGGAAATGAAATCTGCCACCGAGAGAGATCTGTCTAAGCTGCGAAATAAAGTCACTTCGTCGTCTAATGATATCATATCGGCATGTAATAGTACAAGCTTCACCATGAGACTGCAAGCAAGTGCGATGCAATCTACGGTAAAATTATTATGGAATTATGCCGATAACTAAACTTCTTTCTATGTCTATCTATCGATATTTTGCGTCATGTTCGCTCTCGCTTCTATCTTCAGCCGGCTCAGAAAATGCAACAACAAGAAGAAGGACACACTATGTCTGACTTGAGAACAGAAATCACGTCACTCAAACAACAGTACGACGCTGCTCAACATGAAATTCGTACAAAAGAAGACCGAATAAATCAACTCATTCGAGAGATTCACAATTTAGTAAATATCACTTCTATTCTGTGTCTTAATTTCGGCTAAACCTATACACGATAATATGCATTTTGATACACGCAGGAAGAGAGATGCGGTGTTTCGGAAGCAGCAGTCACTCAAACTGCGCGAATGCAGGAGGATATTGAAGTTCTACAAACAGCTCTAAGAGACATAGCACATGCTGTAATTCAGGACGCTGAGTCTCGGGATATCGACGCTAAACAGGCGCCTCCGCATATTCATCTATCACCCAGCGGACCAATTCCACAAAGATCGCCGAAGAGAGGCGCGAGAAGTAGCACCATACCAGCTTTTGCTGAAAGTACCATAAGCGCGGTACAAGCGGCCCTACATAAGTATCAATTGACTATACACGAGTTGCAGGTAAATCACACATTTTCCACACATCATATGTCATCATCAGTATCAGTTATTCACAAGCTTTTCATATTAAGGTAAAACTACAAATGAACAAGGAGCAGCTTTTAGCGATGCGCAAACAATGCGACACCGCGGAGGAGAATGCTAAGTCCTTAAACGTAAGAGTTGCAGAGTTGATTTCTCAGTTGGATACATGTCGTTCGCAATGCACCCAACTGAATCAAGAGAAGGAAATGCTACAGAAGGGTCTCGACACTATGAGATTGGAGAAGAACGCGTTGGACAAAAATAGGGTAGAACTTAATAGTATGGTAAGGCCTAAAAAATTTATATTATTCTGATATAATTGTTAGTGTGCATATTTATATTACATACCGATAATGCATATTTACAGGTGGAAGCTCTTAATAACGATTATGATAAACTTCAAAAAACAAACAATAAGTTGCAGAAAATGTGCGACAGTTTGGAAGATGAGAAATTGTATCTGCAAAACGAACTTAGTAGAATATCGAAGGATGCTGACTTAAGGTAAACAAACTAACGATTATCTACTCTCTTTTTTTTCTCTTGCGCAATAAATATTATATAAAATGATATCTCCAGGGAATTGAGCTTACGTTCAGAGGAAGATAGATGCAGTAAAATGAGAGAAGAACTGCTGACATTGCGAGAAGATTTAAGTAAGACTTATCTCGCCAAGGATATGTTGGAGCAGCAGAAATTGGAAACCGACGGATTAATTTCTCAAATAGAAAAAAATAAAGGTATTGCAGCTTATCAATCATAAATATGATATAATCCGTAATAAGTAGTTAATTATATCCGTAATAAGTAGTTAATGTTACATGAATAATTTAGGTGATCTTGAATTGGAATTGGAACGGATATTACTGGAGAAGTCAGATGTGCAGGAAATTCTTATAAAAATGGAAGCAATGTGCTCTAATCACGAACAGGATAAGCAGAGATTACAAGAGGATTTGAAAAAAGTAACATTTTGTATTATCAACCAAATATCTGATACTAATTATAGATTTGTTGTAGATAACAGACGAGAAAAATAAGCTCGCGAGTCAGTGCATCGATCAACAAGGCGATTTAAATTCATTGAGAAAAGAATTGTTACAAGCAGAGCAAACTCGACTTGATATAGAATCCGAGAAAGTCACATTGAACGAGAAAATTAAATTTCTTGAGATAGAAAAGGAAAAGGTTGAGATAGAACTGGGTCAAGTGACTCGTGAACGCGGCGATTTAAGCAATCAATTATCAGTTTTGGCGCGAAAGAAGGAAACGTTAAATGAGGAGCTTATGAGAATTAGACAAAGGCTGGAGCAGTCCAACGAGATGAATGCGCGAATAAATAGAAATTTAGAGGATCTTGTAAAAGATAATGAGGAGAAACAAGTAAGAATAATTATATCGAACATTTCCAGTATATGTTACTGCCATTAAAGATGATAATAACGATTTATTTTACTTCTGCAGGTGCTTCTGGAAACAAATGACAAGGAATTTCAAAGAGTGCAGGAGCAGCTTGCGTCGATGCGCACCGAGAAAGAAACATTGGAAGGAGTATTATTCGACACACAAACTAATTTAGAAGCTACACACGTGAAGAAGACACAATTAGAGAAAGAGCAGAAAGAATTATTGATAAAACAGGAAAGTTTGAAGGGACAGATAACGCGATTGACGAAAGAATTAGAAAATAGTGAGAAACGTGCGCAAGATATCAAACAGTCACTCACGCAACAAAGTGGCGATCAGGTTGCAGAATTTCAACAAATTATATCCAATATGAAGAAGCAATCTGAAGATAATATAAAGAAAGTGAATGACGAAAAGGTACTCACTTCTTTACTTTACTTCTTTACTTCTTTACTTGTAGAAATAATTTTTCTACAGCTTCGAATATGTTTCTATTCTTAATCTGCTTTTGTTCTCTTCACAAGGAACAAGTAAGGATAAGCTTAGAAAAACGCTTGCAACAGTCTTTGTTGCAAATGGAAGGAGAAAAGAATGAAGAGACCAATCAACTGCAACAGAGAATCGAGGAGTTGCAGCAACACATAGAGAATTTGTGCAAGCAGCACGAAGAGGTGCTTCTTAGAGCTGAAAATGATAAACAACAGGCACTCCATATAGGTAATTGAACGTTCTTCGTTAACTTTATTCATATTTGTAATAGACATCAAGCTCGTATTTTAATTAATTGTTACAGCTCATCATGACCAACAGGCTTTACTGGAGAAACTCGAAACTATTATGCGTGAATTAGAGGAAGAGAAGAATAACTTGGAACGCGTTAAAAGGGATGCTGCGGTGCGCGCCGAGCAAGAGCGTAACAATACGAATCAGCTGCGTGACGAGTTAAATCGTCTCAGGACGAAATTGGACGAGACGAAGTTGAGAGCCGACGAGGAGAAGATGAAACTTGATCTGAAGATAGAGGAGCTCTGGAAGGAGCGCGAGTCCACACAAAGAGAAGCCGAGGAACTGCAAGTTCAGCTGCACATGGCGGAGGATAAAGTGGACGGGCTGCAGAATCAATTGCACGACACTATCAGGAAACTGAAGGACGCCGACAACATCAACGAGACACTGCGTAAAGAATTAGTGGATGTGAGAAGGCAATTGGCGGATACCACGTACGAGAAAGAGAAGTATAACAACAGTAACAAGGAGTTGCGGGAACACGTCAAGCGAATCGAGAGCGAAAGAAGAGAGCAAGGAAGAACATTGGAAGAGTTGTACCAGAAGATATCAGCGTTGGAGGATGCCAAGACGACCATAGACGTCGAAAGAACACGTCTGCAGACGCAGGTGCGCGATATGGAACGCGACGTGCTGCAGCTACAGCAACAGCTTCGCTTCACGCAGGATGAGTTGCAGAAATGCCACGAGAACAACGCTCAGGCGCAAAACGAGGAGAAAGAGCTGCAGTCGAGATTGGCCAACGAAACCGAGGAAAGAGAGCGAATACAGCTACAGTTGCATCAGGTGAAGAAACAGGTGGTCGACTTGGACAACAGTTTGGAGGTTACGCGACAGGAACTGGGACGATTGCGCACGCGAGCGGACGAGGAGGACGAGAGGTGGCGCGCCCGAGAGCAAGAGCTACTGGTGCGTCTTGAGGATAGCCGTTGCCGCGAGAGGAAGTTGGAGGATCAGAAGCACAATCTGGAAGTTTGCCTGGCCGACGCGACGCAGCAACTGCAGGAGCTGAAGGCGCGTCTTGGCGGATCTGAGGGAAGAGTGAGAGCCCTCGACGCTCAATTGTCGCAATTGGAAACCTCGAAGAAGGAAGTGGAGCAAAAGTTGAGTAGCGTGGGCTCCACGTTACGCCGTATCGCCGGCATTCAGATGGACGGGAGCGTGAATATGCCGTTCAAATTGATGAGTCCTTCACGGCGATGGAGTCCGGCACGCGCACAGGACCACGGTGACACCGGTAGAGATGTCATCCTGGACGTCGATCCCGAAACCGTGAGGAAAGGCGTACGATCGCTCATGCAGCAAGTCGCTCAGATTGAACGCGAGAGAGACGATTATAAGACGGAATTGTGTAGCATGAAAAAACAATTGACGGAGTCGCAGGAGAATCAAAGCAACACGGATGTCAAGGTGAACAGTCTTCTAGCTAACATTCGGACGCTTCAGGAAGAAAAGAACTCCGTGGAGGCGAAGCTGACTCAGAAGCAAACTGGCTATCAAGCGCAGATGGACGCGCTTCAACAAAAGACAGAAGAATGCGAGCAGTTGTACGAGAAACTTACAATCCTCGAGTTAAAAATTAGCACGGAGACTGAGGAGAAGTCGCAGTTCGAGGACAAATTAGAAAAGATGAAGCAGGCGTTAAACAGACTGGAAGCGGAGAAACGCGCTCTTCAGGAAGAAGTTGGCCGCAGCGAATCCCGCGCGACTAAATTAGAGTTACAGAGAATGTCCATGGACGGGGATCTCCAGAGGTTGCAGATGATGCTGCAAGAGAAAGACGCGCAAGTTCAGAAACTGCAGGACCGCGCGGATGCACAGAGTCGTACTATGGTGAGCTTGGAAGAACGTTGCGCGTCCTTGAAATCCACCATAGAACAGCTGAATCTGGCGTTGGAAAAAGCGTCGGCGACAGAGAGCGAGTTCAAGAGTGAAATCAATCTATTGCAACGTAATATCCTGGAAGTCACCACTTCTTCGCAGAATAACAACGAGAGGCTGAAGCAGCTGCAGAAACAGCTCTCGAACACGGAGAACGATCGCAGAGTATTGTCCGAACGTCTGGAGACCGCTCAACAGTCCCTGAGCGACTTGAGACACGCGAATCAGTCGTTGACTGATCAGAACGCGCGACTACAAAACGAGTTGGCGAACAACGAGGTGCAGCGATCGGCTTTGGAATCGCAGTTGAGATTGTCTAGCTGGCCACAGGAAGGCAGCCCGGGTAAAGACGAAGAGTTGCTACGCCAATTGCAAACCGCTCAGAGAGAGAGAAGCGAGATGAGAGGAAAGGTGGACGCTCTGAATGACAAGGTGAAGCTGCTGGAAGCTGACAAGCGTAACTTGGAGCGTCAGGTCGCATCGGCCAAGACCAACGTTATTCGCAGCAAGAGCTACGAACGTCCCGAGAAAGCGCACATGGAACTCCTAGGCACGAGCTACAGCCTCGACAACTTAGAACACGAGAATAGAGAACTGAGATTGAAGGTGCGTAGATTGGAGACGCAATTGGCGGAGAAGGAAGCGGAGCTGATAAGAGCGAAATCGGCGCACGTTCACTCGCATTCCCTGCTGGACACAAATCGAGACAGATGCGGAGAATTGGAACGAATCAGGGCCGCGCAGCTGCAAGCGGAGAAGCTACTGGAAGCGAGAGAGCAGAGCCATCGTCAGCAGGTGTTGCGTTTGGAGAATCAAGTATGTATTTTACTTATATTATCTTCATAGTAGAAGATATAATGTATTGTGTACACCACACAATTATTGGCATTCTTAGTCAGCGGCATCAGTTCACAGTTTTAGTTGTGAAGATTTTTTTCGGAATTATAGAGCGCTTACAAGAACTTTAACTGCAATGCACGAAAAGTCACATTTTTCTAGAGTGCCAATGATTAAAGGAACTGCCAATGATTATCTGGTTTACCTACTGATCATATCACTCAAATTCATGTGAGTCAGATCATAAAAACGTGTACGTTTGCAGATACAATTGCTACGAGAACAACTGAATCAGGAAATAAAGCGTAGGCAACTGTACGTTTTACGAAGTTCGCGAGCTGGCAGAGAGATGCAGCAGTTGCGACAAGCGTTGGGAGATTCATTGAGGACTGTAGCGCAGGACCCATCGTTGGACGCGGTACTGTTGGAGCACGAGGCGCGAAAATTGGACTCCACTCTGACGAGCACCGCTAGCTTACCGCCGTCATTGGCGCTACCCGCTCCACCGCCGTCTTACGACAGATCCAGCACTCCGTCGCAGCTCAAATAACGCAGGAAGTAGATCGCCGACTGAATTTCCCGCAATAACTGCCAATGTATATCGAGCGGTACTTATATATTCACGAAAGTGTATAAGTACTTGCCGTAAGTTATGCCTTTTGCGAATTCGCGATACGATAATGCGCCACAGCGCAATTGGGAATATCGTTCGGTGCACGGCCCGAGGGTTGCACATCGAGATCGTTATTAGAGACAGCATGTAGAGTCATTAATTATATCACGACGAACTACGAATTAATAGCGCTTCTTGATATCTGACGATTAAGAGACGAGATTCTCTGCAGATTTTTCGACGATGGTATTTCGTTTGATACACAATCTTTACATCGAACGTATTGAATTTGTACCGAATTTTTTTATACGAATTTTTATGCTTCCAATGATCAAGAGACGTAGGATCCGAAAGTATTTCCTGTGGTTTATTGATACGCACGAGATGCGCGAAAATTCTCGTGGTGTGTGTGAATCTTACATTTAGCAAAGAAAATTTAGCAAGAATCAATAGCAGTTTTTGCAATTTTCTTTCATCGCGTGAATTCTCACCTGTCGATCGCGAGAAAATCATTGTGCAAAAGCAAACTTGATTAATCAATGATTAAAATGCACGAAAATCATTTCATTCATGGATACGATTCATAACATTCATTTACCAAAGCATAAATATATATAGATAATTATTTAACGAAATTAAATAACGAAATTTATAACGAAATTGTTAACGCAAATTGAACATGTACTAGTCTATAATCTGTCCATTAATGTTGTTACTAGTCAATTTAAATTTACGAATTTATTTATTTTAAAATGAGAGAAATATGTTGAATAATATCGTATCTCATTTTGTCTAAGAGACAATTCCCAATAAACACCAACTGAAAGTAACGGTGCATCAATATTATAATTTCACTCAACAATGCAAGTGCAATATAACATGCATTGTATGTAACAGTTACATCACTGAGTAAGAAATTATAATATTAATATAATGTTAAAAGAATTCATACCTGAAGAAAGCCAATCAATGATTAAAATGCACGAAAATCATTTCATTCATGGATACGATTCATAACATTCATTTACCAAAGCATACATATATATAGATAATTATTTAACAAAATTGAATAACGAAATTTATAACGAATTTGTTAACGCAAATTGAACATGTACTAGTCTATAATCCGTCCATTAATGTTGTTACTAGTCAATTTAAATTTACGAATTTATTTATTTTAAGAAGAAAGAATATGTTGAATAATATCAGAACACGTGCTGATAGTCAGATGGCAATTGATAATTTCTTCTTTTCTACCAGAGTGAGTTCTGATTGACTTCTGCTTTTTTGCTAAAGTATGTATTCTTCCTTACTGTCAGTTGCAGTGTTTATTGGGTTGAAAGAAAAGATGTATCGAAGAAGTAAGGCTTGTATGCTTGTGACTTGTGTAATGAGAAGTGTGCTTATAAAATGTAGGCAGCAACAGAAAATGAAAAAAAATGCTATGTTTAGTCTCGTCCCGAGACCAAAGAAAATCAGCAAACAAGAGCATTGTAGAGATATGCTTCCGATTAACTGGTAGATACAGAGCCATCGTTGAGCCATTTTACATAAAGTATAGAGAACGGTATGCTACTAACAGAGCATTAAAAGCTGTTAGTGAGTATTAAAAGTACAGACATAGATGACAAATGGTGGACTGTGTCTGTTCTTTATTATTAAGAATATAGACATCCAGTCCTACGCACTACACGTAGCCTGCCTCGGTTGAGCTGCCTGACTTATGATACAGGATGGTTGAAAGTAATTAAAGAAATATCGTTTAAACTTCATACATCTACAGCGCGAGGTTCATTGAAATCAGAATGTCGAAAACTAATTACTGAGAATTTTTTTCAGTTGGTCTGTTTATGTCTTTGTAATTGAAAGAATATCTCGTTAAGTACTCTTGAGAAACTTTGTATATTTTTTAATCAGACATCTATCACAGCTCATGAGTCGAGCATCGTTTCATCCCGCGCGATACATTGACTTTATACGTGTAATTTTAATGACGTTTAAAAATTGAATCATTAAAATTTATAAAGCGAAGTGGAGCTTTTATGCGAAATGGAGTCCGAAATCATATAGGAAAATTACGTTGTATATTGTAATATCGTATCGTTAAATCGTACGTTTTATTCATGTTCACACATTTGTAGAAATATATACTTATATATAATATATGCATTGCAAATCTTGAAGACGTACCGTTGTTAAAAAAAAAAAGTCTTTGCGCCTTTATAAGTTATACGTTTGAAATGAAATATCACTTACTGCTATTTCTACGCGCTCGTATTGCGTGTCTTTTCCATAGAATATCTTTATTTTCCCTCTGTCCTTCCCATCGCACGTAGCCTGTCCTCGACCGAATCACTCGACAACGTCTGCAATCCATTTTTATTATAAACATTAAGTGATATGAAACGAAAGCAAGAAAAACTGATACGATATATTTGCAGCATACTTCACTTCAAATAACACTCAAGGGTGATTCGCGAAAAGTAAATTAAAATCGAAGTTAAAAATTCTCACTTACCTTAACTAACTTTATCTTCGCGAGTTTTCACTGCGGAGAGATCTGAGGCGTTCGTATTTTTGTGGAATTGCGCCTTTTCGCCATTGAACCACTTAATTGTGACCACAATTTGGATCTCAACTCGCTCTTGGGGTGAACCAGTGCGATCTGAAGGTAGAAGTGATCGGCGCCGGTGTCTCGAGTCGAGCACGTACTCGACGCATGCGCGGCGACACGTGATTTGAATTTGAACGCGCAACGAGCGTCAGTGTAGCGTTGGCTGTTTCGAACATGGTGGTTGTGTGTTGTTCGAGTGCGACGGCGAAGTTTGTTTTTGCCTTGATTAATTGAGACAAATCGACGAAGTACGAAGTTTACTCGTAATGTCGGACAGTATTAAAGTAGCCATCAAAGTTAGGCCGCTGATTAAACGTGAGAAGGACGAGAATTTACCGGTACAATGGGTCAGTCAAGGAAACGCCATCGTGGCTGTGGACGCGGAAATAAAGAAGCGAGGCGATGGAAGATTCCAGTTCGGTAGGATGCCAATGCGAATCTTGATGTCGCATGCGATCACACTCGTGATTTCACTACAGAATATCTTTCTCGAGAACGACTACGTGGTTCCGATAACATTAGGCTCATTCTCGACTGCATGCATTTATTCATTTTTTCAATATTTTTTCTTTCAATTTCCGAGTGCACGTTATTGTATGCATCTTACTTGATAACTCAATGCAGTAACAGCATCTGTTACTTACTGCAAATGTGCTCAGTTGATACTGCACACAATATTGGGGGTTATAATTTTCACAAACTTTGCCTTACGCTGCCTCTTATCATTGATATATATAAGATGCAACACACAAAATCTCACATGTATTAATATATTTATTTTATTTGCAGATCATATTTTTGATATAAATGCCAGCAACAATGATGTTTTCTGTGGCATTGTCTGCCCCATTGTTGATGCTGCTGTGAATGGATTCAACGGTACGATATTTGCTTATGGACAGACTAGTTCTGGTAAAACATACACTATGATTGGTACAAAGGAAGAGGATGGAATAATACCATTGGCTATTAAACAAATGTTTGATGCTATAGCTGATACTCCAAGACGCGAGTTTTTGTTAAGGTTGGTGTATCTCTTATAATCATAAAAAGTTTCCTAAAATATCTGTTTTTAAACTTATCTAAAATATCTCTGTTTTTCAACAGAGACTAACTTTTTGATAAGAATTTTTATTAGTATAGTAATGTTAATGAAAGTTCTCGATCAGCTTCAGAAGATTTATTTATTTTTCAGGGTGTCTTACTTAGAAATTTATAACGAAAAAGTCAACGATCTATTGAGTAAAGAGACAGATCTAAAGGTACATGAAGATGTAAATGGCCAGGTGTTTGTAAAATGTAAGGAGGAGGTTACAAATAGCCCAGAGAACATTCTTTCGTTAATGAGTAAAGGCAATAAGAATAGAAGAATAGGTGAAACAAATATGAATGAGCGAAGTAGCAGGAGCCATACGATATTTAGAATTGTAAGAATGCCAGTTTCTTTCTAACTTTACATACAAAGTGTTTAGAAATTGTCATACAAAACAGCTCCTATGTATTGTAAATTTAAAAAATTGCATGTTTTAGACAATTGAGAGTCGAGAAGCTGATTCTGGTTCGAATGGTGCAATACAAGTCTCGCAGTTGAACATGGTAGACCTTGCTGGATCAGAGAGAGCACGACAAACTGGTGCTACTGGGGAACGTTTTAAAGAAGGGCGTCATATTAACTTGTCTCTTTCCACATTGGCGCTAGTGATTAAGCAGTTGAGCGAGTCGCAAGACACACAAAAATATATTAATTTTCGAGACAGCAAATTGACTAGGTTGCTTCAGACATCTTTAGGCGGCAATGCGATGACAGCGATAATATGCGCGGTAACACCAGCCGCTCTAGACGAGACTCAATGCACGTTATCGTTAGTATTTTTGTTTTAAAAACTTACATTTTGTGACGTTTACTGGATATATAACTCTGTTGTTTAACAGATTTGCATCCAGAGCCAGGAGCATAAAGAATAAGCCTCAACTGAACGAAGTCATGTCCGATGGTGTTCTCTTGAAACGTTATGCAAAACAAATAGATAAATTGCAGGCTGAATTAGAAGTAAGTGTATATCGTAAATGTGCGAAAATCTTTTATGCAAAAAAGCTATAGATAATAGTTGCTTTCTTTTCTTTCTTAGTTATAGTTGTAGATGTAAATAGTTTTTTTCATTGTAAAACAACAAGATCTATTAATCTAATACATGTGTGATAAATTTACTTTTTTAGAGAATGAAAGAACAAAACTGGTGTGTTGAAGTGAAAGAGATGGAATCAAAAATGCAAGAAAAAGATCGCATCAATGAAGATTTGGAGGAGCGCATTAGGTTGCTGCAAACACGAATAGTCGCTGGTAGCTATAACCGTAACAACGTGCAAGAATCGTTTAAGGCTAAAGCGAATCGGCGACGGACCTGGTGCGGCACTGGTGCACATAAATTAAATACATCTGTGTTTCAAATGGCCGCAAACTTGTCGCCGATCAAAGAAATGTCACCACTACGTAATAAGGATGATTTAATCGGACCTGATGTCGTAAATTCGTGTAGGTTTAATTATTATCAAAAACAATTCGAATGTTTTAACGAGTTAGACTGCATGTTAAAACCTATACACACTATTGTTACAGCATTCCAAATAGCTTATGCAGACTTTGAGTTAGAACTTATGGATAGTGAGGCAGATCGCGACGAGGAGTTCAGTGACGATGATACATTTATAACATATCGCAAGAATCATGTGAAATTTAAGGATGATGTAACTGTTCACAAATCGCCCTACAAACGCGACTATTCTACTGTCGCTTTGGACACAGCTGAATCTAGCACTCAGACTCTATGGTAAATACCAGGAAAATCGATACTTTATATTATCGATTCTTTTTATAATTAATTTTATTATTCGTTGTTATTTATTCAAACAGCTCCAAATCCCCTGGCACACCGAAAGAGAAGTTGCGAGAAAAGATGCGCCACTTGAAAATTGAATATTCTCAGCTTCAAGAATTCACTACTTTAGAGAAGCAACTGTATTTTGAGGAACGTAATTGTGAACTGGAAGTGAAGCTCGCGAGATTAACCACATTGGAAAAGCAGATGGAAAACTTGTTGTCCGATAAGGATGCTTTCGAGCATATAGCGTCTGAACTTCGCAAAAAATTAACCACGGCTGAGCTACGTTACACCGTTGCAGAAGATAAATTGAACATGCAAATGGCGGAACTGCAAAAAATACCTGAATTGGAGAAGAAACTCGCACAATTGTCTGCGCAAGAGATAGAGGCGCAAAACATACCCGAACTACAGGAACGAATAAAAGTTCTTGCAGCTGAAAAGGACGGATACGAACACGTCGCGTCTGAATTGCGAAAGAAACTCAATGAAGCTGAGCAACACAACATTCTGTTGGAAGAAAAATTAACAACACAGATTACGGAAGAAGAACCACTTATACGGTTTTCGATTGAAAACAACAGTATACAGCAGATAGAAGTGAAAACTCTTACGTCCGAAAAGGACGAATTGCAACATAAAGTATCTGATCTTCAAAATAAGCTGGCAGCAGCTGAGTTATGCAACAACTCGTTAGAAGATAAATTGAAACAGCAGCAATTGCTACACGATCAAAATCTTCGAGATCGGGAAGAGCAATTCAATAATCTTGCATCTGAGAGGAATAAACTTGAGAATATTGTTCACGAATTGCAGGATACATTGAAAAAAATGGAGGAAAATAGTAACTTAATGAAATGTAAGTTGAATGAACAGTACATGGAGATGGAGAAATTACAAGATCAAGAGAAGCGAATTCAACAACTCGTATCCGAGAAAAACGAGTTCGAGCTCATCATCGGTGAGCTGCAGGACAAATTGATAGAGGCGGAAATAACAGCTACTTCGATGAAAGGCGAGATAAACGAGCATGAGCGATACGCGCAAAAGTTTTTGCAGCTGGAGAAACAGATTCAGGACGTTATAACGGAGAAAATGGAATACGAACGGGTCAACGGCGAGCTGAAGAACAAATTGAGAGAAACGGAACTAGCGAACAGTTCCTTAAAGAGTAAATTAAACGAGCAACAACAGAAAACCTATGTTTTGGAAAAGCAGATCGAGGATCTGGTAAACGAGAGAAAAGAATTCAACAATACAGTCGCTGAGTTAAAGGAAAAATTAAAAGAGACGGAACTAACAAACAGTTCGTTGCAAGATAAATTAAACGAACGTGAAACAAACACGTCTAAAATTAACGACCTGCAGGACACATCTTCAACTGAAACTCTTATATTTGAAAATAGCAAGTTGGAGCATACTGTTTCCGAATTGCAGAAGGAATTAAAGGAAGAGGAACCGTACGATAGTTTAGTCGAAGAGAGGCCAAACGCGGAAACGTTGATCAGTATCGACAGTATCGAGGAACATAGAGAAGCTGAATCGTACACTGATTTGATGGAAGACAGTGTAGATAACCTACTGAATTTCACGATCACACACGAGTTGCGAGTTGAGCCAGCCGAAGCTGAACACCACAGCTCTGCTCGAAACGAGTTGGACGAAGAACACTTACAAAGAATACAAGAATTAGAGGCACAAGTAGCGAGACTGAGCTCCGAGAAAGAAGAGTATGAACAGATGTCTGCGGAACTGCATAAACGATCGATGAATAGCCCCGCGAAGGAAGAATCGACCGTCAATGATGTCAATGACGACGAGATTGTTTATTTGAGAAGCCGCATAAATGACCTGCAAAACATCATCCAGGATATCCAGAGTGAGAACACGCGTCTGAAAGAGCATGTATCGACAAGATCGACGATGTTAGAGCAAGAGTATGACTTGTACAACGGCGACTCGACGAAGATCGACTTGTCGAGCACGAGGATGTCTTTGGAGGAGGATAGCGCCAAGTTGTCTGCGGATCTAGTCACAAAGACGCAAGAATTAGACGAGATCAAACACGATGTGCGAAGCTTGAAGGAGGACATTGAGAACTTGCAGAAAACCATATTGCTATTGACAACTGAGAACACCGAGTTGGCGAGTAAATTGTCAACGGAAAAGACGTGCGCCGACCAGTCCGCCGCGCATTTCCAGAAAACGATCGATGAGCTGTACTTACGAAACTCGAAAATTACGAGTGAAAAGATCGAACTGGAGAATAACTTGGCAACGCTTAATGAGCAGATGGAGACGCTTCACTTGAAGATACCAGAGGTAAACTTGAACGAGAAACAGATAATGCTCAAGTATGAGGAGCAGATAAATATATTGACTGCTAAGAACACAGAATTGTTGTGTAAGATTGCGGACAGTATGACAGAACTCGAGACGTTGAAGGAGAGCAAATCTCTTCTGTACGAACACGACTGCATGTACAAGGACAAACTAACGGATCTCGTGCAGAAATACGAATACTTGACGAATGAGAACAACGAACTCTCCACCGATCTGATGGATAAAATCGAGGAAAACGACGGTCTTAAGCAAGAGTGCGATATCTTGAAGAATAAGCTGGAATTATCTTTGAAAAATAAGGAGGACGTGTTTAACAACGACACGGAGCAGTTGAGAACGGAGAATACATTGTTGAAGACCGAGCTGATGGAACTGAAGGCTAACGTAAAAACTTTAACGGAAGTGAACACGAAGATGTCCAACCAGCTAGTGGAGACTATAGAGGACCTGGATAACGCGCGGAAGATTAATTCACACAATAACACCCTGCATCTATCGATGATGTTTAACAATAGTTCAACAGCAAACGATACGATAAACAAGACCGTGGTGGACGACGAAAATCCCGAGACGAAAATCTTGAATCTGCAAGAGGAAGTTACCCAACTCACGCATCTCAACAGGAAGCTCAGCGACCTCAAGTTAAGTACCTGTACTCAGTGCACCCACTTAAAGGAACTGATCGAGAATCGAAGGATGCTGAAACTTGAGGTGAAGTCTCTCAATCACAGACTGGCGGATTTGCAGAAGAAGTTCGACCGCAAATCCGCGAGAACCGACGCGCTCATGATGAAGGCGAAGGAAGATATTAACAACAGTCTGTGCAATTTATCCAGCAACACCAGTTTTTCAGAAAGCATGAACGTCACTTACTTCGAGCAACAGCTCGAGTGTATAAACAACGATATACAATCTCTAAAGGAAGACGATAATAAATTGTCGGATTTGTACAAAGAGAAGTGTGATGAGATCGAAGAATTTCAGATCAGCAGCGTCGCTGACTCGGCGTTTACCGACGACGAGACTTCCAGCATCAAGAAATCTTCCAGCAAAACCTCGTCGAGATTGGATAACATTGAGAAAGTTATGGGGAATTTGCAGGACGAGTTGCAGGAATTGAAAAGGAACAACCTGAGTGTCAAGATGGATCTCATTAAATTTACCAACGAGAAGGAATCTCTGCTTGACGAAATCAACTCATTGAGGATCACTAACGAGGAGTTGCTGCAGAAATTATCGAAAAACGAACTCTCGCTCACCACCATATCGGAAAAGGCGGATATCCTTGAAAACGAGATGACGGATATGACCAATCGAATGCAGGATCTTACTGCTAAGTATACCGTAATCGAGAATGCGAAGTTGGTTCTCGAAGTTGAAGCGGAAATGCTGCGAGAACACAAAACGATGAAAGAGCGAACGATAGACGAATTACGTCAGAGTCTTTCCTGTTTGCAACACGAGCTGGATCTTGTAAAGAAACAGAAAGAAGAAATGATCAGTAGTGATAATTTCTTGGAGCAAGAGTTCGAGAAGAAATTGAAATCACTGATGGCGACGAATGAGGAATTGGTTAATTCTAAAGCAATAGTTTCGCGGGAATTCGACGATTATTCCAAAGAGTCGGAAACTAGATTGTTGGAACTGACGGAAAAAATAAATAAGTGCACTTCCGAAAACGAATATTTAAAACAGGAAATGATCAGGCTGCGCGACATCGAAGATAAACTCGAGAAGATGAGAAACGAATACCAAATTAAGTCTCAGCAAGATAAAACACTGGCCGAGGACAACAAGAAGCTCAAAGAAGTACTAAATACTACCTCTAAGAACATCGTCCAAGAGATTCAGTCGCTGAAGCCGAAAGTTAACATTCGTGAATTTTTGGATAAGTCGGTAGACGAACTGTTTCAAGTGTTCTTGCAGACGATTCTGACGAAGGAGAAAGAGATAATGAAGACCATGCAGCAAAATTTCAACAAGGAGAAGCAAAAACTCGAGGATAAGAAACAACAGAGCATGGATGCTGAGAAACGTACGACATTGTGGGCGAAGGAACTGGAGGGCGAGATAGAAAAGCTCCAGGGCGATCTGTCCAAACGAGAAAGCATATCTGACGGACTGCAGAAGGAGGTCGCGCGACTTCAACAGCTTCTGGAGGAGAACAATCAGGACAGGTATGTGTTGAGGAACAAGATCAGTCTTCTCGAGACGGATCTCGGCATCCTGCAAACCGAGTTTGACAGATATTCTAAGAACGACACCGTGAACGAAGAGGCCATCATTATCGCGCAGATGCGGGAGAAACAAGCACAGGAGATGATCAAGAATAAGGAAGCCGAATACCAGAATAAACTGAAATCAGAGAAGGAAATGAACAACAGACGCGTGGAAGACCTCACCTGTACAATAGAGTCGTTCAAGACGAGAAACATGGAGTTATCGAGCAATATCGAGGGTCTCATGGCCAACCAGAAGCAATTGAAAAACATTATCGACCTGAAAAATAGCGAGCTCATGAAGAGCAACCAGATCATACAAAAAATGCAATCAGAGTCGGAACAGCTGACGGATGCCTATAACGACGTGAACCAGGAGTTGGAAACGCAGAAGTCGCGTGTTGCGGAAATCACGGAACTCTTGAGGACTAAATGCGATGAGCTAACGGAATATAAGACCAATCTCGAGACTCTCGTGCACGAGAACAAATTTCTCAAGCAGCAAGCCAACGAACGGAAAACTAACGTGGAACAATATAAAACAGAGATAGAAACCATGAAGATGACGAACGAAAAAGTAATCGATGCGTTCAAAGATAAGCTAAACTTGTCAGAGCTGAAGAATGCTGAGCTGAACAAAAAGATAGACGAACAGAGCAATAAGAACGTTGCCTTAACGGAAGAGTTGAAGAATTTAAACAACGATCACGAAACCCTGCGATCCAAATGTATCATGTTGGAGAAGAGGGTCCGGAACAGTACGAGCAAGATCCAAGCGGAGGAACAGATGGAGGAACTGAAGGATTTGAACAGATCGCTGCGAAATAACTTGGACGGCGCCAGCAATCGCATAACGGAGCTGCAGGCGGACAAGACCAGCTTGATGAAAGAGCTGGTCACTCTGAACAGCCAATATGAGTCGACATGTAAAGAGAATGAGGAGTTGAAGGAAACATTATCATCGTATAAATCCAAGTATAACGACGCGTACGCAAACGCATGCAGCGAGAAGTACGACGCTCTGTTGCAACAGAAAAACCAAGTCACCTTGGAATTGGAAGCAATAAGGGTACAGTTGAGCCAACAGAACCGAGACATTGAGAATTACGCGAGTAAGGTGAAAGAGCTGACGGAAAAGAACGTGGAGCTCGATCAGGAGTCGGAGGAGTTGGCGGAGGTGATCCGGCAGAACGACGCGGAACACGCAAGGCTGCAGGACCAATACTATTCGACCCGCATCGAAGCCGAAGCGTTGACAGAGAAGATCGAGGAGCTCGAGAAAAAGAACCAGATTCTTTTGTCGCAAACCGTACAGAAGACCACCAATCCCGTGTCCACCGACAGAGTCGTAAACTACCACGATGATGCATGCAATTGCGCGACTTTAAAGGACAAGATACGCGAGCTGCAGTCGGAAATGATATGCAAGAACGGGAAGATCGCGACGTTGGAGCTGCAGATACGCAGCGGCAGTTTTCCATATCAGACCAAGTGCAAGGAGTTACAGGAACATCTGTCGACGTACAACAACAAGGTAACTTTTGTCGAATTTCAGTGCTGCTTTTTACGGAAATTTCCAATTCCAGTGCACAAGCTTGACGCGAACGTGTTCTGTTTTTACAGAACAGCGAGCTGAAGGCGGAGGTCAAGCGACTCCAATTGGCGATGCTGCGCACCAGTGCGAAGGAATGCGACGCGTGTAAGGAGAGACTTGTAAATAGGAGGAACCAGGTGTGTCAGACGATAACGAACAACGTGGTGCGACTTTGCGGTACGAGTAGCGGCATCATCGACGTAAGTATGCACTCGTCATTTCACTATCGTTATATTTCACTATCGTGAAACTGAAGCAACCAGTGACTGTGTAATCTGAAAATAAAAGAAAGAAGTATAAGTAGAAGCGCAAGCTGAGTATGTGATGTGTCCTCTGTTTATTCCAGTATTTTTATGTCTGTATTATAATCTTTGTTACAAAATTTTAAGTGTTTTGTATATACCATCTTACGCAGGAGGAACTAAGAATAGCAAAATTGGAGAAGGAAAAGAAAATCATGAAAGACGTGTGTCGTGCCCGATCGAAGACCATAAAGGAGCTCGAGAAACAAATAGAGGAATATGAGATGTTATTGCAATCCAGATAATCACGATATGAAAGTGCTTCTTCGCATCACCGTACCATCGACTAAATTTTCTATCTATGGACATAAATTTTAGCAATTACGTAATTGAAACCGTTATGCTGCTTTATTGCGCGCGATTTGATAAAAATTAGACTTAGCGTTTATACAGAGAGCGTAACATATAATGTAAATAATTACAAAGTTATGACATAAAGGCGATATAGTTTTATATTTTTGTAATACGATTGTATGGATTTAATTAATTATTTTATATGTACGTCGATTTCATATGGTAGCAGTATATTTTTCGCCAGTTTTACACTTTCGAAGACAGTAGAAGCCTGTGATATAAAAGTAATTAGACTCTTGCCAGGATTGTATGTAAGAGAGGTATCACGACGGACTTCCCAACAAATTGATAAGTACGAATTCCAATTTCAGCCATTATTTCCAGAATTATAGTCTGCTGGATGTACCTAATCGTGCACATTTGGAGCATATCTAGCTGTTCTATTTTTCATACCTGAATATTTGTGGATAAGGAATAATATTATCATCTACTGGCTTAGTGCAAAACTGCATATTTATCCACGTAGTAAACGTATGAATTTATATAAATAATAAAGAACATACAAGATCGAATTTTCTGAACTATACAAGTTTTGTTAAAAAAGAAATTATAATGAAATCGTTATATATTATTACACAAGTTTTATAGACAGTTGGATAATAGGTATTTTTTAATAATTTTTTACACGAGGAAAACTCGTAATGCAGGGATATATTCCATATTTCTGTACGCAACATCCCAATATATAAAATATAAATACGATTTTATTTTTAAAGGACCATCGCTAATAAGATTTTTTTTTTTTACATATTAAGACATGTAATGAAAAACTAAAGAAATAGATTGTAGTTCGTGTAAATAAAAATGTTGTACAAAGTATTCTCTTGTACAAGTGAGAGCATTAATAAATAATAGTAGTTATGAGATTTTCAGATTGTGAGGAGAGTAATTTCCGAGATTGTGCATTTTCCTTTTACTCGAGCGCGGGATCAATTAAAATGTCATTAATAATACTCTCTCTTATATATTTGAGACACTCTTCGCTTAAGTACATTTTAATAGGTAATTTTGTAGGCAGTTTTACATATATCCAAATATAATATTTTATTTTAAAAATATTATAGTGTGTATTTTTACAATTATATATATTTTCTACGATTTATCGAGTTTCGATTTCTTCGGTTTATATCTCATTGTATGCTTGTGTACCCTTTTTGTACCGGCTTTTGCTTTGAATAGATCTGGAACGAAAAAAAACATGTTGTTATACCAAGTTAAATGGATCCTAATTTATTTGAAAGGAATAGCGATAAATTTATTTAGAATCGACAAATATTCATGCTCTTCTCACCTTCATCAGGTTCCTCGCCCACCTCGTCGCGATAATATTGTGCGTCGTCATCCTCCTCCTGTTCATTATTTTCGGTAGATTCCTTTGCGATTTTTTGTAGGAGTATCTCGCTTTCTCTCTTCTTCTGGATTCCTTGGAGCGATTTCTTCTTGTGTTCCTCCTTCTGCATCTCCTTCTTCTTCTTATTCTCTTCTTGAATCATCTTCCTTTTTTCCTTCAATTTCTTCTTCTCTTCTCTCCTTTTCTTTATCGCAAGTTTCTCCTCCTCCGTTTTGTGTACAAATTCATGAAAGAGTACCTCGCCGTCGAAAAGGTCATTTTCCACTTTCATTAACTGAAATAGATATAACCAAACGTTAAAACACACACAAATGTCAGAAGTAGATATCCATGTAAATTCATAAAAATGTCAATTGCAATTAATTCACTAACCTGCAACGTTAATCTCGGTCCCAATTCGTGTAATCTGATCGCGCTTGTAAAGTTAGCATGATTCCCCCTTGAAGATAACTTCTGTGATAACTTAACATGACTAGCTTCATCGTCCTCCGCCTCACTTTCAGACATGGTTGGTTTCGTTAGGAAATCTGAGATGTCTTGACATTTCGATAAATCCGGTACTTTCGCTTGTACTAATTTTTTAACACCTCTTGATAAACCCGCAGGCACAACTTTAATGGCATAATGCCTGAAGTCAATGGTTTTTGATACTGTATTATAATTTAAGCACACACAACGGCGAATTGTGCTTAAATTAACCTACAATGCCAACAATTTATCAATTAAATATGTTTACAAATTGGCCGACTTGCAGAACTTACAGTGGTTAAATTTATAGTTGGAAACATATTCTGGAACATAGAAGTTATAAGCTTCATCTGCATGCCTTCACCGCTGAAATTATTTAAAACCACTAGAGGGGAACTTTTAAAGGCCTCCTCATATACCATTTGCTTCCTTAATAAAGATATTACATCTCTTGCCAGGGAGAAATTATGTACTTTAAAAGTAAGAGTGGGTCCTCTAGGTAACCTGTCATAGGAGTCGTTATTTTATAAACTTTATAATTTATATATTTAATATAATTATATAAATTATATAATTTATATATTTTATAAACTTTATAAATTTTATAAATTGAGGAATTATTGATACATTATTCTCAAAAGACAGCAAGTACCTGCAAAGCTTAAGATACATTCCCAATTCTGTGTTTGTAAATATACACATGTGGCTAACGTGAAGCACACTTGCAACAGAAACAAAGTCCTTTATGGTGTTCTTTTTGCGAGCCTTTAAGGATGAAGCTGTAAAAGGTTCCATAACTTTGCGAAAGTCTTTGGTAAGCTCGACAATATGTTTCCCTGGCAAGCCACGGTGAAATACAAAAGAATGAGGTGCCTTTACCAACTCTTCCTTCTCTTCCAAGTTTATTTGCTTATTTCGTTTGACACATCGGCCCTAAAAAGGTATAGAAGATTATACTTCCATACAGAATTCTTAAAAATCTTTGATAAACTAACTTAGTAAATTTATTTATAAATAAATATTTATTTAATTATAAATAAATATTTTATAGTATACTACTGTGGATGTACGTATGTAAACTGCACATAAAATTTAAAATTTTTTTTGTCAATATTTAGCAAATATTCTCAAAATTGTTATCAATTCACTTATATTTCTTTCATTTAAAAAAATGACAAAATACCTTTTTCTGACGACCCATTATTCCTCTTTAAGTTAGGTTAAGATGAACAACGATGTAGAGTCACGTGTATACTAACGCTCTCAGCCAAGTATTGAAGGAAGGAAAGAAGGAAGTTAGGTTAAGTTTTCTACCACGTGTTTAAAATTCAACAATTGTGCCGTAGAGAAGATTGGAATGAAATATTAATATTGAAAAATAAATTAACTATATAATCATTAATAGAAAAGAAAAGACAATATTGTTCGATAGCTCTTCTGGGCAATTCTTTACTACAGGTTATAAAAAAATAATAAAATCATAATGCACGAAAATATAGATAGACTGCGTGCGATTGAAACAAACTGGTAATCCTAACTAGAGTTGAAATAAATTTCAACTCTAGGATGCATTCGAAAATGTTACTTGGGCTTTCCTTCTCTCTTTGGCTGCGTTCGAATAGTTCGCTGTCGAGCTAAGGGTGTGTTCAGATGGAGAAAGAAATAGCGGAACGGACAGTTACAGAAAAGAGATATGGTGGGGGTCAACCAATCAGAGTGTTATAGTGTTTCTAGTAATAGAGTGTACCCGGGTAGGAAATCTGAACGCACCCCTATATGTATAGAGCTCATTGATTCCGATGCATTTCGAAACTCAGGCAAGATCCAATAAGAGGATTTGTTTTAGAACAATGATCACGAAGTTTTCTCTCATTGGACGTCTAGAAGAAGGATCTCACATTGGCGAATCAGATGAACGAAACATGTGGCGCAGTAGTGGTAACACTGGGAACAGCCATTTCCGTCAATGAAGTCACTTCCGTTTTCAGCATCAGGAAGAATTACGCCAGTAAGATTCCGTTTAGTCCTGGACTCGTCTCGTTTGCGAACGGTTCGTAACAGGCGTACTTGATTGATTCTGTCGAGACTTCCTCACGGATCATTGTTTTTCGGACTGTGGATCGACGACGCATCAAGCCGATTGTTGCTGCGGAATTTGACGAACTGAATCGATAACATCTCATCAGCAAGATGTACCAGAAAGGCAGGCCGAATCAAAGCTACGGCAACGGTAAGATTTTTCAATTTAACGGGAATGCGAATATCCGGCATCTTTATCGTGTCGTATACGTTATCCATGTGTATCGCCATTACGATTACGTTACATTAAACATGACTGTGAGAGCCAAAATGGACATATCGATGGCATCTTCACGCCTGGTTATGAATAAGCTCGGCCGCAACGAGTCTCGCATTAACGATCGCGAACGACATGGCGCAGCGCGTCCATTTTTACGAATTGGACACGGGGGGAAGAGTAAGAAGCTCTTACTCACACGAAGATCTCGGGCAATTATTGAGTGCAAAGCTCAATCAATATTGCCGTAGGATGAACTTTTTTCACTTACAGCCGAAATTGCAAACAAGTTTGTTCGTGACGTCATTTAATATATTATCCTCTTGTATAATACTGACAATTTTTTCCTTTTTTTTTTGCTGCAGCGCGGAACGTGAATTCTCAGATTTCAGGATCCTGCCCGCAATCTACTGTAAGTTTCTCATTTACTTTGTCTCTTTTCGAATTTATGATTTTATATGTTTCTATATATGATAGTGTATCAACACAATCAGAATCAGATAATAAGCAAAAAATTGCATTATTATAGAAATAAGTAGGGAATTAAGGCTTTAATTGTGGATTTCATAAAGTGAATATTGAACATTGTAGTGTTCAATGTTCCATTATGGATCCAATGTTTTATATCTAGAGAATATAGAGGTTCTCCCTCACTGCCGCCATTTTGACTTATAACGTCAGAAGTGGAAAATACGCGTTAAAAATTCTTGCGAACTATGTTAACAAAATAATATTTGTAATCAATCTAGTAGACATGTAAAATAATCTAAATACTTTCCTTTTTATTTTAACAATTAATAAATCGTAAAATTAATATGACAAAATCATGAAAGAAGGTTAAGTTAAAAAGAAATGTTGCACATGACATTCATTTTACAATGATTTATTGATCGTTAGAGCAAAAGAAAAGTGTTTGGAATATTTTAGAAGTGTGTTTAATTGATTGTAGGTGTCATTTTTTATATGTATGTTTTTATTTTTATATACTTTGTAGGAATTTTGGACATTTATTTTGCTCACTTTGGATGTTAATGTAAATCAAAATGGCTGCGGCGAATACATTTGCCATACATATTAAGGATAGAAGCTTTAATATGTATAGCAATATATATGTATAGTAAATAAATATTTTCAAGCGATATTGGTCCCTATTGCTAAAATATCTATTTGCAATAGAAATGGTTAAAATTATTAAGATTTTCTAATAATTAAAAGTTTAATTAATTGAAAAAATTCTAATCAATAAATTCAAGAGAAAATTTGTTTAATAATAAAATTTAAGGTGTGTTAAAAGTATTAGTTGATTTTTCTTTATTACTAAATGTGATTACACACAAAATAGAATATATTATTAACTCTCAATCATGATTCTTAATGTTTTTATATTATTAAGGTAAGTAATACTTTAAATAATTTTTTTTGAAACACAGCAGATATACAATTATGGATGGGAAAATTTTGACATGTATGACTTACATTATACAAAAATATAGTCCTTATTTCTGAAGGAAATGAATACATTTATATACATATATGTACACATAGGGATATCTCGCCATTAAAAAAATCTTGCCTCATCTTTCGATAAAGTTGATCTATTATGTAGGGTGCAGGAAAGAAAGTAAAAGGAATTCAAATATTATATGCAGTTAACTTTTTTAAATACAAGTAGTTGAAGTTGATATGTTTCATTTTTTTAATAGATTATACTAGTTTTTTTTATTTACATGATGTTTTTACGGAATATCACCAAAATTTTCATATATATGCCTCAAGTTTATGCTACAATTTGCTTTCAATAACCATGTCACATCCTGTCATTAAAAATAATCATTTCTTATAAAATTCGATTTTTTAGACAGATTTTTTATTCATTCTACTGTCAACAAAAGACAGTATTATTATAGGCAAATTAATATACTGTCATCATGTCATTTTTATGCAATGAAACAAAAAACCTCACAGATAAATCTATACATTAGAATTCTTTCACCTAATACACTTTATATATCTATAGATACATTCTACATTATTATATTTATTATATTTATATATATTTTTTTTTATATTTACAACTATTAAATAGCTTTGCAAATATTATGTTTACTTGTACAATTTACATGCTTTTAGAAAGATTTTTACTTTAGGACAAAAACTATCTAGTTACAAGTCTAGATATTCATGTCTACAGAAATTTATAACATTACGTTCTAACAAAATACTTCAAGAAGATTAAACTTTTGAATCAAAATAAACCACAAATGGCAAGTATTTTTTGAATAACAAATTAATAATTTCAAACATTGATCGTACAAAACAATGAGAAGGATTCTTTCGGTCATATAACGTGGTAATAATAATGTTACTACAGTTATCCGTGATTCAGAAATGAATTCCATTTCCTGTCAGAATACTATTGCACTTGCATGTACTAATTAGTGATTCCTACTTTCCCCTCCCCTGCAACGCAGGTACTAGTAGCTATACAACAATACCGAGGAGGTGCATTCGACCAGGGACTAGGTCGTCAGTTGCCCACATAGCATACCCTACCGTAGGCCGTTTTCTTGGTAGTTCGTGCTGAACTCGTGCCTAAGCAAGTTCATATGTTGCAGAAATGATTTGAGCATCCTACTAGTAGCATCAGCCGCGTGATACTTTTTCGGGAACTATCCAAATTGCAAGATAGTTGTCATCGATGTCCGTGTTTTATAATGACAGTAAAAACGATGATTAGCGCATTTACTGATATTGATGCTTTTTACTTATGGGCGTGTTTCAATTCACGCACAAAGAGAAAGCATGCAGTACAGAAACTTTCCACTAGTAATCATAGGCAGATAGATGAGCGACTTTGATCTAAAGGCACGAGCTAACTATCCGCCTACGATCACCTGAACACTTCTATTATTTATATTACACTTTACAAAACGGTCTAATCGCTCGAGATCCACAACAAGAGAGATGCAGTCTCAATATTCTCCTCACTCAAATATGTTTATCATGTCGAGCAGTGGTAGTATATATATATATACATATATATATTATTTATTCCAAACTCGGCTCAGTCATGAGTAAAGAGACGTTGGCCACAGTAAAGGTAACCTGGTTGGTATGAGCTATGGGGTAGCGTTTAATTGCTTTAAAAGTGCACATACGATGCTAGACCTTGGTGGGGTAGCACAACCGTAGAGGTTCCTTGTGTAGCGGCGACCCACCCTATGTTTTGCAGTATAATACAAGAGGAAACTATCAAGCGTCGCAATCTGCGTCCCATCAACAACCAAGCAATTACAAGCAAGGAAATATACCACAAAACTTACCCGGCCTCAAATCGCAGCAGCAACAACAGCAACAGCAGTCAGCGCAAATAACACCGGCCTCTACACCGACGCGATCATTACCGCAAGCAAAACAGCAAGCGACTCCTCAACAACAGGGACAGCAGCAAATGCAACAAGTGCAACAACAATCGTCACAACAACAGCAGCAGCCGCCGCCGCCGCAAGCTCCGATGCCTCAACGATTGAAGCCGATCTTGAAGCAAAGCGCAGCACCACCAGTATCGGTCAATCCTCCACAACAAACCAAGCCCATGGCCAATCAGCCTAGTGTGCCTCCTCCACCTCCTTCGACAACCGCGTCTACTTCTAATAATAAATCCGATGCTATGGTTGACGATATTGAAATGACTGAGACTATGAGTGTCGAGATGCAGGAGCAACCGAGATGGCGAAGAAAGACACCTGGATGTAAGTTCTTTTAGAGTTTATGGGCAAGTATATGATTCGCGATATACCATCGTATGTATATAATTCTATGTTAACATGTATCCGCTGCTTTTAGAATTGTACAATTCGCATTTGAAAAAGTCGTACACCTTCTCATACTTTCGGCTACAATATTTTTTTTCTTTACTATTATTATTTTCACTTTATTAACGGAGAGAACAATTTCTTTAGTTTTATAAAAATAATCAACTTACATTAGGGCGAATAACTATTAAGTTGCAAACAAAAATTTTTATCTAATTAATATATGAGTGCAGTTTTACTGCTATTAGTGCTACACTTTCACCTCGATAAATCGGAGAGAATCCGATATCCAATTAAAAAAATTTATTTTTAGGGAATTACCAAGAAATGTTTTTTTATTAGATATGGATACGTTGCGAAATTCATTGAAAAAGTGTTACAACTCTGTTGTCAGTGTCTAAATAATTTAAATAACTCGAAATCTATAATTGAAAGAACGAGAATAGTAATAATTTACGTTATTCACTGATGATTCACTGAATTCAAAGCTATTCATTGATGATGACAATTCACTGCGCAAATTTGAAGATCCAGAAGAGTTTTCAAACGCTCCGGTGTTATGCTGTTGAGCTTTGACACTCCGACAGTCGGTGTGAACTTTCGTTTGCTGATAGGCATGATAAATCGCAACTGTTTGTATTATTGCATATACGCGTCTAATATAATTATTTATGTAGTTAAAGTGAACAAAAAGTTGAAGCGTCTTCGTATGAATCAACGTCTGAGGAAGACTCTGCAGCCTAAGAACGCGATTATGGTATTAAACGAGATGAAAGCCGGATGCCAATTTACATTCCCCGAGACACCAGGCCACGTGTCAAATTCGCTTTATCTCGTTCACGCCGAGGTAACGTCATGGAATAACAAAGAATACTTTTTGCATGATGTGTCATCATTTTAATTACAAGTTTTATTACATCTTGTTATAATGATGTGCAAATTAATATTAATATGTGCCTTTAATATTAACGCTCTTCAGTGTTAATATACGTAATATATGTAATTATAGCTGGATGGTAAGACATACGTCGGACAAGGTTTGTCGAAGCCGCTTGCTCGTCAAGCCGCAGCAGAGAACGCATTAAAGGCGTTGTTATTAGAGAAGATGACAGCGGCATCAATGAAAGCACGTATAGATGCCGAATCAGATGGACAAGCCAATTCATCTTCGGACATCATCAAGGAAGAAAACAACGATGATGTCTCAATGGATATGAATAATACCAACGAGGACGAGATTCCATGGAGCTCATTGGCTAGTTTCGCGCTTTATAAGCTTTTCCTCGAATGGCACAACCAGGGTACATCGGTCCCGGTTACACGTCCTGGCTTGCCAGCTGTGAAAGGAGTCAAGAAAGAGGCCGCTGGCTCACCCAGAGCTCCTACCCAGAAAGAGCTACCACCGAATCCTACGAATATACATCCGGTTATGTTGCTGAATCAAATGAGGCCTGGATTAACATACGTGGAAGTCAACCGTCTTGGTAATCCGCCAAACACAATGTTCACTCTATCCGTTGATGTTAACGGAGCCAATTATTCAGGAACAGGTATGTGCACATTTTACGCGGAACGATCGTATCGTAAAATGTTTAATTACTAAAACTATTGATATGCAATTACATATGTAATTATATGAAAATTTTCATTTTCAGCTAAAAACAAGAAGGATGCTAAGAAAGCAGCAGCTAAGGCAGCGTTATTAGCATTATATGGCTTATCCTATCCCGAAGATACTTCAAAAGAAGCAATGGTAGAATAGAGTAAATGAAACACTCGGTATTTAAATATTATGTATTGATTTTTTAATTTTTTTTTTTTTAATAAAACTATGGATTAATATCACGATAATTGTCAGTCTGTTGCACACGAACACTTGTATTATTTGCATGGAAAATTTAGAAATTTTTAGATGTAATTCTTATGGCTAATCGTACTGTAATTGTATACTTCCATCAGGCAGTATGAAAGACGTGATCATATTTTCTCTCGTCATGATATAACTTAATCATTAAAAATGATTTTATTAACCATGATATACTTTACAATTTGCTGAAAACTGTACATGTATGTAAGGATGGGACAAAACTATAATTAAAAAATGGGATTACATGCAACAAATAATTATTTACTGATAAAATCGTTTTCAGAAAGAAATTAAGATTGAATAATCAAGATAACTACAAAAGATGTTCCAGATTACTATTCTCAAACTTCGCGAGAGTGTAGAACAGTAGTTGAATTGAAGTGGACAAGAAAGTCCCAAGTCACCAGATTTTTTAAAATTAATATCTGGAAAATTATTGCGAAGAATATTGTAAAAAGATTTGGAACTTCCTTGTTTACCTCAATCCATTCTACACTCATGAAGTTTGAGAGCAATGTTCTAGGACATTCTATACAACTTAAACACACACACACACACATATATATATATATATATATATAATATATATATATATATATATATATATATATATATATATATAGAGAGAGAGAGAGAGAGAGAGAGAGAGAGAGAGAGTTATATAATTATTCTTTATTATTTAACTTTAATACGTTGTGTTTGTTTTATATATATATATATATATACATACACAGATGTTTGTAAGTAAAACAGAATACTATTAATTGATTTAAATGTTTTGTAGAATTTCAATTTTCTACAAAAATGTTATCTCTCTCTCTCTCTCTCTCTCTAACATAGACTGGATTGTAATAAATTTTCTACAATCAAAATTATTAAATAAATCCATGACTTTTCAAAGTACTTTTTGGTTCAAGCTGTTAAACTGATTAAGATTCACGTAGAACTTTGTCTCATCCATACATATAATAATATCACTACCATATGTTCGAGAGAAGAAAAAGATGGTTAATATATTTTCATTAGTATTACGAATATTCTAAATAAACTCACGTACTTCATTGCGTTATCTTTTACTCATTAGCAAAAACTTTTCTGCCGCTACTACAGTAAAGCGTACTTTATAATATAGCAATACATCTATCCACAGTAAACAAATTGTAATTTCTATTATAACTACTGACATACTATGCGTATTATTGTCACAATTTACATTGATCATATGTTTATTGCTGTAATAATGTTACTCTGACAACAAAAATGATTATATTGTTATCAAAGATAGAAGGACCGATACCACAGTGCATATGTACGAGCATTAGTGTTATGAATAAAATCATGACTTTCAGATCGTGTAGTTACTTTTACACATATATAAAGAATTGTTATTGCCCAGCTAGGCGTCTTGCGCTAAAACAAATTAATCTCTGGCAAGCTAGAGATCGCTGTTCTTGTTTTTTAATGTGGAAAACTGATGCAAATAAATTTTACCATTGTAAAACTACTTAGATTTTAATGTTTGTATAAATTATGTATAATTTTATTATATTATGATTTGTACTTATAATCGATCAAGTTCTATTCTAGCATATTACACAGGATATATTCGGCAATTTACGGTGTATAGGTAGAATAAGTCAACGTAATGAAAAGTTATGTAGCATTTTGTAATTTTTTAAATAGTACGAGTTTTTAAATTACAAAATGGTACACAACTTGTCTGATTATTTACTACCGAGTTGCCAGACACTGCATATATTCTACGACGTTTGTTCCGATCGATTCTGCCGCGTGCACAAGTAGCAATTACTATAGCAACAATCGCCAAACACCAATGAGCTCCGTATTGTCGTACGTGCTCGCGTCAAATGTGAAGGTACTCTTGCGATAGCTATTGTCAAACAATGCATACTTTAAAATTAGTAATGGTAGGACCAACTCGGGTAAGACGATCACTTACTCACCGTTTCTCTCTGTGCACGAATATTTCATTCAAATATTTCAAAGCGATCACAAAATATTTTATTACCGAATAATGTGAAAGCAGAAACAATGATCGTGTACATTCATTTAGAGTGGAAAAACCACGATAGCGAACTTTCTGGCGGATGCCACGGAAATCCCATACGATTATCATCCCACTCAAGGGGTTCGAATACTGGAGTTCGAAGTGGACGATATCGAGGTGAACAACGAGCGCATTTCGAGAGACATCGAGCTGTGGGACTGTAGTGGGAATCACAAGTAGAGAGCGATGCGTTTCTTGCGAGCTGAGATCTTTCAAAGCAGAACAGGATATGATGAACATTTTGCAGGTTCAAAAATTGCTGGTCGGCTATGCGCAAAAGTGTACACGGTGTGATACTTGTGTACAACGCGCAAATGCAAGATTCTTCGAAGGAATTGAAAGAATTCTATGATTATTTCATTAACGGCTCGAAATTGGGCCCAAATAGCTGCGTGATATTTCTTTTTGATCCCGATAACGCTGGGCCGAACGCATCAAAGATAATTTGTAAGTATTCGGATATTGTTAATGTCTGTCGTAGAACTAACTTTGAAGAATCAATGAAGCTTTCCATTAAAATATAAAATAGATAAAAGCTTCTTGTATCCAATCGATTAACTTCTAAATTCTCATTTGATGATTAAAGCATCTAGCTTCTCAAGTGTCTCTCATGTTAAATGTAACGTGGATGATGGTGGTGATAAGTTGAAAACCGACTTTCGCTTGTTCCTAAGTGCCTTGATGACAAAACTACTAGAAGACAAGGAAGAGAAACTAATACTGAGTGATAATATATTATTTGCTAAATAATATATATATATATATATATATATATATATATATATATATATATATATATATATATATACTATATTGTCGAAAAGTCGAAGTTCCACACAATGGTGTAACACCAGAATTATATCAAATAGCTTTAACATGATTAACATAATATTACACTTCTCCTTTTAGTCGTAGACTCCAAGTTATTTACATTGATTAAACACGTGCAGAAAGGTTGTAACACTTTTTTTTAATCAACTTTGCCACTTTCGTATCCAATAAAAGAATTTATTTTTTGGAAAGAATATATTTTTTTACATTTTAAAAAATCTCTCTTTCAGCTCTATTTCTATATATGTGTGTATATATATGTTTCTTTTTACATATTTTGGTAAATATATTTATATCGCAATATAAATATATATGTGTCGATGTATATTTCCTATATAAGAAAATAATTGCTAGCGTTTAACAGAGAGAAAATAACAATGAGTGTTTAACGATTGCTCCCGATGGGTACATTCTCTTGGTATATTTATCGAGAATTTAAAATAACTGAGTTGCTTTCTCTGCTGATGTAAAAGATTATCGTCTATTCTATGCATCTATTAAAAAATCATGTGAGTATTCATATATAGAACTTACTCATTCAGTTGTTCTTTGAATAACGTAATTTCTTTCCATGCTCTTTCTATTTGCTTCTGTGTAAAGTCGTGACTCCACGAAGTACATATGACAACATTCGCTTCATTTACCTGTTCAGTATTACTTGGTTGTATTTGAATTCGCGATTTCGCTGCTTCTTCAGATAACCCATTTCTATCCATTACCCGTTTTATAGCCTATATATATGAATACATTGAATGAGAGTACAATTATGAATACTGAATATTAAATTTTCAGACACATAATAAATTTTAATTATTCTATATTTAATATCTCATGCAATAAATGGAAAATTGCAAATGATATAATTGTAAGGCATATGAACTAATGTTTATCGTTAAATAGATGCATATAGTTTATTATTCCATTGTCCAATGGAGGCTTACCTCATTTTGAGGAATTATACAAGTCCAAATTTCGTGACAAGTGTTCTGCCACTTGGCTTGAATTAGAACTGCTGCTTCCATCACAATGATATCGTGACCTTCAGAATACAGATCAGCTATTTTGTTTTTAGCTTCATGCAAAATCAAAGGCCAAATCAGTTTATTTAGTTCTTCCAATTGTTCCTATCAAATACATGTACAACAAACATCTATAATTTGTTATATTAAATTAATAATTTTATTTTGTTATTTAAATAATATTAGACAGTAGGAAATAATGTGTATATAAGCACCTTATCGTTAAACACTATATTGCCAAGTGCCTTTCTATCTATAAATCCATCAGAGTTGAGAATGGAAGGACCAAAATGCTCGATTATTTTAGGAAAACCGGCTTTTTCAGGTAAATATAAGTCGTGAGCTAACTTATCACAGTTTACAAGACTAGCACCGAGTTTTTCTATTTTTCCAGCGACTGAAGATTTTCCACTCGCGATACCGCCAGTCAGGCCGATAATGTACGGTTTCAAAGGTTTGTTGTTTAACCTCTGATAAACAAAATAAATTATTAATCTCATAATGCTCAAGATGCAATATATAAAATCTTAGATTTAAAAAAATATTATTAATTGCATTTTGTACTGCATTATAAGTGTAGGAAACTTACAGGAGGTCGAAGTCTCGTGCCAAGCAATCGTATTCTGTGATTACTCGAGCTGATTTTGGCTTCCTCATGTTCATTATAATGTTCATCAATTGCCAAATCTACCACATGAATATCCAATTTACTTAAATTCCTTTGTAAACGCAACTCATTGACTTTGTCACCACCACGCTTTGTCTCTTGGCTCACAACTATCATTTCAAGTGTTGGGTCTTCTTTGGTAGGTCCATACATATCATCGATAGGAACAACATTGCACGTTATTGAGGAATCTACATCTTCCAAAAATTCCTTAACTTTCTTTATTCTTTTTGTACATGGCTCTATAAGCTCCCATAGTATCTTACCTGAAAAAATTTTGTTACTATATCATACCAGAGTATTGTACAACAATCATAGGAGTAGTAATATATTGTTGTACAATATTTTTTTGTACAACAATATATTTTGAATTTATGTAAATTTATCATTTATGTGTGAATTTATTAGAGTTCTTATTATTGTATTCTTAGATTAAACAAAACTGAATAATGTAAATAAGAAAATCGTACTGGAAATCATATTTGTATTGGTTACACCGACAGTAAGTTTTTCTGTGCAGCGTAAAGCCGCTTCACTTAACAATATCTTATGACCATTGTGCAATCGATCGAATGTGCCGCCCAGTACCACATTCCTATAAGTTTTTACATTCTGAACACGGTATTCCACCTCTTTATGATCGTTTTGATCTTGATCGTCGTTACAAGTAACAAAACTGTAGTCCATCGACGTATTGGCTAGATAGTCTTGTATAAATGTGTCGGCTTCCTTTTTACTGTACGTTCGATCAAAAATAACTATTTCTACGGGTTTCTTGGTGTTTATGACGGATTTGTCGGGATACTTTATGTTAGTGAGCAAGACACGAACGTCGAGTCTAGAAGCGATTGTAGACGTGTTCACATAAATGTCCACGATGTTTTGAGAACATTGCGGGCCTCTCCGTTGTGATGTTGGGTTACCGTATTTTCCCGATGCAAAAATATTTTTTTCCGGAAGATATTGTATGTACAGCGTCTTTAAAACGTGCTTCTTGATTACAGGCAGTAGCACCTTCACTGACGCAGGATTCGTCAAAATTAATAAACCGGTGTTTGCCATGTCGCTGTCGATTTACAAAAATTCGTCTGGCTCTTACAATATACTTTCCTATTATTTTGGTAAATCCTCCCAAATATTTACTATTTATTATCGAGATCTTTAGAGACAATAGGTTAGGAATGTTTAGTGCGAATTAACACTTTGCACGAGTTTCTTATCACAGGCACTCCGTTTCTCTATGATCCGAAATTAAAACTGAAATTTACTTAAATCGAAAGTACAAAAATATACTATTATTAATAAACAAATATACCATTGTAATATATATGGAAACCTAGCATAATAGAACATTACATTACGCAATGAAGGTTACGTTTCGATTTCATTACTAGTACTGAAAATATAGAGTATTCGTGACATAAATTATAGATTTTCAGTATTGATAGTAAGTACTAAGACGTAGCCGATATCTTTTTTCATGTAAAATTCATGAATTTCTTCTAGCATAAATTTGTGAAAAAAGTAGTTTCATTGAAATCGCTAATAAAATTTTTCACAATTTCACGTAAGAAAAAAAACTTATAATCTTCTACACAAACAGCATAAACTTCTAAAAGACGTCTTTTAGAAGTTTACACTATTAAGTCCAGGATGACTCATCAAATTCTGATTAAATTGATCCTTGAGAAAAGAAGCAAGTCAAATTAGGGCGATTTCGATTCGATTTTGACAAGATCGATCCAAAAAGTCCAAAAAATCGATTCTTTACTATTTCGATTTTGTATGAATCGATTCTTCACGCTAACGGGGTCGATTATGTATCTCGAAATGGAGTGAAAATTACAAAAGTGAGCAAATTCACTAGCCATTGACCAATGAAGTTACAAATATTCTAGTAAATTTGCTCACTTTTGTAAATTTTACTTCGTTTTGAGATACACAATCGACCCCTTGGAGCCACATATTGAAGTGAAATGAAGTGACTTCTTTCTTCCGGGTGGGACCCGATTGACCACGGTACGATTGGACACAGATTATGGCTGCGTTTCGAAATTCACTGCCAGTACTGAAATTCTATAATATACGTAACATAAACTATAGATTTTCAGTACTGGCAGTGCATTTCGGAACGCAGCCTATAATGATTGGTTCGACCTGGTAATTCACTATATAATTCTTTGCATCGGTTGGTTGTGTCCAATTGTGGTCAATCGGGGCTCCCGCTTGAAACACTACAAAAATCAGCCAATCACGTGTAAGACAGAAGATCCACATCGCACGTCCATCTTGTCTCTGCGTAATCCACGTTACCCAACATGGCCACTGCCGTGGACGCCGCAGGCGAAGCGTGAATGTGAATATAACCTCTTCCTTTTGAATCCGTTAAGATTAAAGAAGTGTGCTAATTGGAAAAATAAATTGACCAGCCGGAAGTATCTAAAGCCACAAAAAAGAAAATTATTCTGATTCTGGTCATTCTGTTTCGATCGTGCCAATAAGGTTAAGTGAATCGAAGCATGATAACCTGTGCCGACAAGTTCTGGCACACGTGACGAGCTGAAAGGAGAACACGCAGCATGGTGCAGAGCAGAATATTCGCACGAAATCGTGCGCTCGGTTATGTCAGCAATCACATACCGCTCGTGACGCGATATATCCTCAAGAGGAAGGAGCACTTGGTGATCACCTGCGTCGGCAGGGCGTTTCACACGTACGGATGCAAGCATTTTACGCTGTTGAGCGTGTCCGGCCTGCATCCGGACAACATCACCTGCCTAGCCACCGATACATTCCATGTATATACAGCTAGCGCGAACAATGTATATGCATGGCGTCGGGGTACAGACTTGAAGCACACTTACAAGGGCCATGAGCACCCGGTGCACTTGCTGCTACCATTCGGCGCTCACTTGCTGTCGGTCGATGAGAGCAGTAATCTGAAGGTATCTCTTTTTTTATTTGAGAGAAGAAATGCATGGACACTGTTAGAGTCTATGTTTAATTGCCATTTACTTCAATAAATAATTATAAGTTTTTTTACTTAATCTGTTTGATTTTGGACGATTAAATTAAATACTCTTGTACACTTGTACTCTTATTTATGTATGTTTGAATAGATATTTGATGTGAAGGAATATTGCTGTTTATCTGAATTAAGATTTTCTACCTCTATAATTCATATAAAATATATGAATCTATCATTTATTCTTAAGACTGAGGATTATTTATCTCTAATCTTTGAGTCGTGTACAATATCCATGAAACATATATACATACATCTCTGTATATGTATATATGTATGTAATTACATTAACATTTTGTTGAAAAATGTAACATATTAATTCAGTAATGAAACAGTCTTTATATACAAGGACTAAATTCAAAGATGCCTCTGTTTATCATATTGAGCTTCAAATAGTTATTATCTCTTAAATATAAGAACACAAAATAATTAAATTTCAACACATTTATAAAGATTATAAATTTGTTAATAGAGGATATAATTTTACTATCTAATGTCGCAAGAACATACTTCGTAGAGTGAGGAAAAGCAATCCCTTATCTTAACCATGTTTTTAATTAATCTTTTCCTTTGATTGCAATCTGAAGGTATGGGACATCAAAGAGGAGACACAGTTGCTGGAGCTATATTTCAACAATGTTACGTTCAGAATCACCACGATAATGCATCCAAACACTTACATGAACAAGATCCTGTTAGGCAGTGAGCAAGGCCAGTTGCAGCTGTGGAACATCAAAAGTATGAAGATGATTCACATATTCAAGGGGTGGGATAGTGCTGTTACTGCGTTGGAGCAAGCTCCAGCAGTGGATGTGGCAGCGGTAGGCTTGAAGAATGGCAGGATTATCCTACACAATCTCAAGTACGATGAGAGCATCTTCGACCTGGTGCAGGATTGGGGCTCAGTGGTGTCGATCAGTTTCCGCACGGATGGTCAACCAATCATGGCGACTAGCAGCCCGTGTGGTCGTATCGTGTTGTGGAACCTGGAGCAACGTAAAGTGGAAAATCAGATGACCCAGGCGCACAATAAAGCTATCACCGGCCTGAAGTATATCCCGAACGAGCCACTGTTGCTCTCGTCCTCGGCCGACAACTCCTTGAAGCTGTGGATATTCGATTCGTCCGATGGCGCAGGCAGACTCCTGCGGATTCGAGAAGGCCACGCTGACCCACCGACGCTGGTGCGTTTCTACGGGAGCGACGGTAACTACCTGCTGACAGCGGGCGGCGATTCCTCGCTCCGGTTGTTCTCCACCGTCACGGAGATACTGAACAAAAATTTAGGCAAAGCGTCGTTCAATCGCAAGTCCTCCAAGAGGAGGTCTCGCTTGGTCGAAGACCCGCTGCAAATGCCGCCGATCGTAGACTTCTCTACCGAGATGACGAGAGAGAAAGAATGGTGCAATGTAGCTGCGAGACATTTCAACATGGCTGTAGTCTCCACGTGGTCGACTCATCTGCAGAAAATGGGAGAGTTGAAACTGACGCCTAAGAGGTTCCAGGGTAAGCGCAACGTTACGGCGACCAGCCTGTGCATTACCAAGTGCGGCAATTTCGTCGTGATCGGCTATAGTACAGGACATGTGGACAAGTTCAATATACAGTCCGGGATACATAGAGCGTCTTACGGGGGTGAGGAAGGCGCTCACGAGGGCACCGTCAAGGGGGTTATGGTCGACGATCTGATGCAAACTCTTATGACCGCTGGCGAAGATAGACTGGTCAAGTTCTGGGACTTCAAGCCCAAGCAAGGTACGTGTATCTTATATAAAACTCGCGCAATAATGAAAGTTATAGTTAGATAAGAGTTTTTCAATTAAATTGTACGTTTGTAGATATAAATGTCATATGTTATAATTAAGCTTTTTCTGACTTTAATCTAATTCTCATCTTATAGAATGATCTCTTATTATGGAATAAAAAATCTGCATATCTCATATTAGACAAGTTTCAATTGACAACTATTAATATAAGTTTTAGACTCTTGCTCAGATTTTTATTCAGAGTTACATTCCAATTTTTTAGTTGAATTATATGGTATATATGACGTCGTATTTGTAGTCACCATTTAACTGAGAAATTTTCATCTAATTCTGAACTCAAATCAAACATATTAATATAAGTTACTTAGTATCATGATTTATTCTGATATCAGATAAGTCTGATATTTCTTCTTTCTAATACACCATGACACTTCGATATAAATTCTTATTTCTTATCAGATGTAACTACAACGAGAACGATATTAAAGATGGAAAACTCGATCGAATGGATACGATACCACAATGAGAGTTCTCTCATAGCTATATCCTTGGATAATTGCACTATCGTATTATTGGATATGGACACTAAGAATATAGTTCGGTGTTTCGAACACGAGGCTCCAGTAACAGACGCGTGCTTCAACCCCGACTCCAGGTGGTTGATCACAGCATCTACGGACGGCACAATTCGCACTTGGGATATACCATCTTCACACATGATAGATATCTTTGAGGTAAACTCATTGTTTACAATCATACACATTTGAAATGACTGCACAAATCTACAAGAGATATTTGAATCCTGAAAAACATTTCTTGGAAAAAAGAAATATTTGAATTTAACAACTCCCCGCCCTCTCACGTAGAGATAAAAAATTGGAACGTTAAGATATCTCTCATGTTGTAACATCCTTGTAGTGTTTATGTCGTTTTCTAGTAGCATATTTTTAATTTCTTGATGTAATACCGAAACAGTACGTTACTTAGGTTGATGAGAAATACACGCTGAGAAGATACTTTAATACAACGAATATATTTGCAGGTTCCTGAGACTTGTATGTCCTTAAGCTTCTCCCCAACCGGTGAGTTCCTGGCGACAGCGCACAGGGGCAATCGAGGGATCTTCCTATGGTCAAATCGTATGCTCTTCTCATATATTTCGCTGAAAGCCGTCAGCAAGGACAGCATGATACCCGAGATAGAACTCCCTGGCGTGTTTGTGGAAATCGAGAAGTCCGACGACAATGATGATGTCGTCGCCGCGGAGCCAGACTACGTGTCGCCCGATCAGCTCGATGCTAGTCTCATAACAATGTCCGCCGTAGCGCAATCCAGGTGGCAGAATTTACTGGACATCGACATCATCAAACAGAGAAACAAGCCGAAGCAGGCGCCGAAAGTACCAGAGACCGCACCGTTCTTCCTACCTACGATTCCATCGCTCGACATGCGCTTCGATTTCTCGCATCTTAAGATCAATGAAAAGGCCGAGAAGCAGGGCGCGAATTCCGTTTTGCAGAATGTCACGTCGCTCAGCAAAAGTTTGAAATCCGTTGCTGCAACCGATGACTTCTCAATCGTGGTGGAGAGACTGAAGACGATGAGCGCCAGCGCCATCGATTTTGAGATCCAGTCATTGTCCTTTGACGAGATCTCGTCCGAGTCATTGTTGTTGCAGTTCATGAAAACGATCTGCTTCATGATGGAACGGCAAGTGGACTTCGAACTGTCGCAAGCGTACTTGGCGGTGTTCCTCAAGTGGCACGGCACGACGTTGACGGAAAAGGATACGCTACGGGATTACTTAAGGGTGATTCAAGAGGTGCAAAAGAAGAACTGGCATATCTTGCGAGATAAATTATTTTATAATATCAGTGTCGTACAAAATCTAAAAAAAATGTAACATAAATAGATAAAACGTACGAACTGTTATGATACGTTATATGTATACTGTTAAAACAATTGTAGGATCATTTCTCTTAATGCCTAATGAATACTTCGACTTATATCAATAGTCGTTACTTGACGAGATATCTAGATTTGAATTTACAATTAAACTTAAATTTTTCAGTTGAATCATACGATATACATGATATATTTATAATTGTGATTCAATTAAAAAAAAATTCGCATCTAACTCTAAATTCAAATTTGAATATCTCACTCAAGGAAAGTTTCAAATAATGATTATTAATGCAAGTCTTATAGTATTAAATTTGTAAAAATAAATCTAAGTATTTTTTTTACATGTTTCAATCTTAAACTTATTCATATTACAAAGACCATTTACCTTCATATGTGGTTCTCAGTAGACTATGAACTTATTTATTAGAACCATTTGCTCAACACGATTCCAAAATTATTTTTGAGTAGTATACACAATAATATACAATGAACACGCAGACATTGAATCCTGAATAGCACAGATTTGAGCATCTTGAAAAAATATTAATGTTTATTATCGTCTATATTTTTATATTTTACATTACAAATATCAAATAAGGTATCTACATTGAAATATTCGTTTTCCTCAGTGCGTCTGTTACAATGCATACACAACTGCGTTTATAAATGCTATATATATATATATACATATTTCAATGTAGATACTTGTATATAGTGTTGTAGATACTAGTAACGTATATATTTTGATGTAAATACTTATTAATTTACGTATTTCAATGTAGATGCTTTCGATTATACAATTATTAACAAGATTGACAAGACGATCATGATTTCACGCGAATAAAAAATAAAACGTAAGTTCATAGACGTGTAAATAGAATAAATTTGAAATTTACGACGTTTTGTCGACAATTTGAATAAATGACAAGGAAGTTTATGTCGCAGGATAGAGCAGCGCTTTCTCACTATGTAGCTCTCGGTAGTCCAGTGAATCACATAAGTACACTTCGTGGTGAACAAGAGTATTCGCACATCACTCCCTGTAATTGAGGTAGCTCTGCAACTGTTCTATCTTTACCGGCTCCAGGTACAGTTCATTGATGTACGGCTCGAAGCTCGTGACGATTCTGTAGAGGCTGCGCTTGATCGCGCTGCGTACGGATACAAAGAGCTCCCTGGTCGACTTGTCGTCCGTTTGCGCTTTTCTGCTCGACATGTTCGACTTGTGCAGCTTGTCGAGGGCCTGTTTCAACGACAGCAGGCCGTAGATGATAGTCGGCACGTCCTTCTGCACGATGCCGAAGGTGTCCTCGGTCAATGAGTACACTGTGAGCGACGAGATCGCCTCGGCGGCCCAGATCGCCAGCTGGCCGTTGGCCAACACGTAGCGGATCTTGTTGTCCTCCTGCTCGCCGAAGATGTAGTTTATGAGCGGCTTGGAGAGCAAATAGGCCACGAAGGCATCCCGTTTCTGCTTGATGGACTTCTGGATGAGCCGGCCGTTGCAAACGGGTTCCTTCGCGCTCATCTCAGTCGCGGTCATCATCGGAGGCGGGATGTCCTGCACCAGTTTTCGCATGCGGTACAGATAATCGTTGTGCGGCTCGCTTGTCGATGTGGTGGTCGTTGTGAGGATCGGCGCGCTGTAGAATGTCTTATCTGGCGACTTGGTGCATATGGCGTTGAGGTCGATCGTGAAGTTCCTCAGGAGGTCCATACACTTCTGCATCACGCAGTTCCAATTGTAGGGATGACCACCCGGCTGACTAAGCGTGAACAGCAAGATCCTTCTGCTCCGTTCCTTCTGAGCTACGGTCAACAGATCCAAGTAGCCCAGGTATTGCATTATCGGTACCTTGTCCATGGAGATGACGTCGGTGAGCGTCAGCTCGGGATCGTCCTTGCTGAACGCGCCGCTCGTGCCGATTTTGAACCAGACCCACTCGGTCATGTAGATTTCGAATAACAGGTAGGTGCTGCTGAGAGTCAGCGCAAAGAGGAACTGATGCAGCCAGAGCCGCGATATCAGCATGAAGTTCAGCAGCTTGGACAGAGTGTCCAAGACCTCAGACTGCTCTGTCTGCACGGATATCACGGAGAGTGCTGCACGACAGTAGGAGCCCAAGAAGTAATAAGCCATTATATAGTACACTGTGGACCAAGTGGAGGAGAACACCAACGTAGGCAGCACGGAATAGATATTGTGCCTCAGTCTAAAGAACTTAGACTGAGCTATGGTAGGGAAGCGGATGTATTTGCATGTGATGTTGTTGCTCTTGATGGAAAAGTACAGTCCACCCCAGCAGCCACTGAGCAGCAGGAAATAATATTCCTCCATCAGACACTTACCCTCGGCGACTTTGCACTCGACAATCGGTGAATTGTATCTGCCGGCTATCAACGACAAGTACAGCCAGACCAGGGCACCGCCGATGACGATGTACGAGCCGCTGAATAGCAGGTTCTGCGTGGTGAGGGTCGCGCACAATCTGGTAAATCTGCTCTTGTGATACGACGGTGTGCGCAGGTAGATCTTGCTGCAAAAGAAGCCCTGCAGGAAGACCACCGTGGCGAGAATGAACAGGTACGTCCACATGCGCAGCGACGTGAAGGCCGTCCAGGTAGCGTTCAGCCAGCGTGCGTAGTCCGTGCTGAGGTTCGCGAACAGCACGAGGCAGCACACGAAGAGGAATTGTAGCGTCACGCTGGACACGCTGGCCAGCAACATCCGCTGCATCAGCAGCTCCTTGCAGCTCTTCTTCTCTATCCCCATTATCTCTCGCTCGTTGAAGCCGGTTAACCTCTGCGAGCACCGTGAATCTGTCACGATGTGAACATCGGTTTATCTTGCCTTGTGTGAGTCACACGACGAGATTTTCCACGAACTCTGCGTACTTCAGGTCACCTATGCGCCCTGTAATGGTCACTATCGCATAGTTCTCTCTGACGATTTCGTTTACTTCCTCATCAGCCGAACGGTTACATGCGAGATATTCTGTACGTATAAAATTTCAAAATACCGCAAACTAACCTAGATGGCGGGAAGTTCATTTTCCCCCTGGAACAGTCTTTTCAATGGTTACGTTCAGCAAAGAAAGCTGCTTTGCACTGTTGTAAAATTCATGAATCTGATTGGAGTATGCTCTTAATTTTGATTAAACCCCAGAGAATGTACGAATCAGATTCACGAATTTTACAATAGTTGCAAAGCAGCTTTCTCTCCTGAACGCAGCCAATTGGCTGCGTTCAGCATAAAAGCTGCTTTGCAACTGTGTCGAATTCGTGAGTCTGATTGGTATGTGCTCTTAGATTCAGCCAGGATTAAGAGTATGCACCAATCGGATTCACGAACAGCAGTGTAAAGCAGCTTTTAGCATATTCGACTAAAGGCTGATTTATGATGGCCGTAATCCGTAAACTTATGCCGAAACCGTAAAAAATTGTCACAGTCGATCACAGTCGATTATTCTTCTATAATTCGACTATGATTGATCAATTTTTTACGGTTCCGGCATAAGTTAACGGATTATGGTCATCATAAACCAGCCTTAAACCCTGGGTCCTTATTTTTGAAATAGCTGCGTATACATAAGTTTTACTGCGCAGGTTTAATCATACCATAAAATAGCTGCGCAAGGAAAATTACGTATACGCAAAAATTTCAAGAATATGAGCCCAGGTTAATTAACCCGGGATCGATTAGTGACGTCACAAGACTTTATTAGCCAATTACAAAATTTATACGAAAATGTTCGATCAATATTCGACCACTTGTTCTTTCTCAACTTTTTCTGCATTTTCTACCTTCTTTAAGCCCATTTATAGACGCCGTAACCGTTAAATTATGCTGTAATCCATAAGAAATAGACAAGTCGCAGTTGACTTCTTGTAATAATCGACTGCAACTGGTCAATTTCTTATGGATTAGAACATAAGTTAACGATTACGACCTCTATAAATGAACCTTTTCTGTCGCCATTTTTATTCTATCATTTTAAATACAGGATCGGTAAATCTTCCATCAGCAAAATTAAAAAATGTCTTGATTAAAGGTGCAGATAAATTTAAGAAACGTGAGGAATGAATACGAAATGACAACGGGAAAAAGAAGTGCAGAGATTTAGGTTGAGATTTAATTGTGTACTGCATATATTTGCATAGTAATACAGTAAAGGTAAAGCATAAACAGCGCAGATCTCCACAGGACGTTCTCTAAAGATGTTTTGAGAACGTTTTCGCGTCCTAAGAACGTTCCCAGGACATTCCCTGGAGACCTTGTACTGTCTGGAAGGCGACTTGTTTACAAATAATGACTAATGACGAAAACAATCAAATGCTAATGTGTGTATCCAATATTCGCGCGTTGCAACGGTATATATTGTACGCATCCAAGTAACACGTGTCGTTTAAGAAACGTTTTTGATATATTTTACAAACGATAATAAAACGTTACATACGTTTATAAAACGTATATAAAACCAACATGTGCTATCAGGGTAGCTTAATTGAAGTTCGTTACCCAGACAGCACAAATCTCCTCGGGATGTCCTGAGAATGTTCTGAGGACGTCCACAGAACGTCCATGGGATATCGTGTGCTGTTTGGGTATTTACACAATATTTACGGTGACGGTGTGATGTGAGATTGCGTGAGGACGCTGACACGAGGGCCTAACGCGAGAGAAGCGAGCAGATGGAAAAAGTCGACCCCTGAGGTCACATGTTCCTCATCTCCTTCTATTTATCATTCTCGCCGTCGACACGGCCAAGTGCCGCGCAAGTCACGGAGCGCGATAAAATGCGGCGAGTGGATCGAACGTCGGCAAACATGAACTTTCGAAGATCTCGGCGGGACTCGGATCTCGTCCTGTCGAACTTTGGCCAAAAGGAGCATCTCTTCAAATTCCTCGTCATCGGCGACTATGGTGTCGGTGAGTGGTGTGAATTTGTTTAAAAGTATTTTTTAATATTGCGTCGCCCGCAGCCAACGAACGGCGTTTAAGCGCGCCAACGCGTCGTTCTCAGAAATGGTTACAACGTACACTTTTGCACGATAAGATAGGTGAATACAATCTGTCCGGTAATCATTCAGATTCTGTTAATCGTGTGAATATTGATTGCATAAACTTGCTTTTATTACGCACGCATCTATTGCAGGAAAAAATTATAAATCAAGTTAATCAGAGTTGGGCTTTTACGCATAAATTATGACACTTTTCGTCTACATATAAATAAATAAACTATACACAAAATGTCACTTACATGGACAATGAGTTTGGATATCGTTCAAAGAACGTGTGACTTGTTAAAAAATTAATTAAATTAAAAAATTAAATTAATTAATGAAATTAATTAAACGAAAGTTTATATCTTTATTGAATCTTACCCACATACAGCACAAATATAGAAAAGACATCTTAGAGACATCTGAAAGATACTCTGTTTTAAATCTCTTTAGGATGTCTCTAAGACATAATTTGGACATTATATACTAGTACTATTTATATTTGAATCCTGATGTAAATTTAAAATTTGAAAAACACATACTTGCGCGAAACCGCGAGAAACTTTAAAATTTTAGGAAACTTCAAAATTGCCTCTTTTGGAAAATTTAGCGTAATATTTCACTTTTTAAATTTTGAACAGATCACATTTATGTTTCAGGTAAAACCGCGCTGGTCAGAAGATACACGGAAGGTAACTGTGATTTCTCGTTCTCTCCGTTTACTGTCGATTCGACGAGTCGTTTCGCGAGAACCACCCGTTGACACTCGTCAACCCCGTGCGTCCGCGTGAAACGTCTCGAAGAATGTCATCGTCGCGCTCGCAGACAAGTGTGTGATTCGGATTTCGCCGGGAGATTATCGCGCGGGCACACATACTCGAAGAAGAAGAAATGAGATACGCAAGCAAGCCGGCTGATCCGCTCTGAGAGACACGTGCACTCTAAAAAGATGCGCGCGTGCGGCCGCAGCTGCGCGACCACCGCTAATCCGCAACGCCGGCGCCACTGCACACCGAAACTGTGTCTTTTGCAGGGAAATTCTCCTCGAATTACAAGATCACCATAGGCGCCGATTTTGCAATAAAATCTTTCGATTGGGATCCGCACACTAAAGTAAACCTGCAACTATGGTACTGTCGATGCATTCGCTTCTATCTTATCTGTTTTTATCATACTTCTATTTATTCTATGTCTCTCTTTCTCTCGAATACGTTCCTTCTTCTTTTTCTATCAATTCTGTATCGCGTCGAGGAAACCAGGAGATAACGATAATTCTCCGTTCTGAATTTCAGGGATATCGCCGGCCACGAGAGATTCGGATACATGACGAGGGTCTATTACAAATACGCGTAAATATGGCTCTGAATACGTCCCTAAAACCAATCGACCTTACTCCGTTTATTGCAGTGATTAATATACAAAATATTTCACAAGGCAGGAAAGATCATTTTCGAGTAAAGAGATGTTGCGTGCGAACACAGATTCTATTCTAAATACTTTCGTAGAGAAAGTCCCAAAAAGCACCTCTTGAAACGTTTCAATTGCTTATAGATACTTTGCTTTAACGTCAATACAGTTCCTTGCGCTTTTATCGGGACGAAATTAGCACGGTTTGTAGCTTGGATTGCACTCCGAAAGTTTCGATCGTTCGTTTTTTCTCTCTTCTCAATTATTGACTGATCAATCGACTCCTCGCTCGTTAACTTGACTTGTGTGTAGAGTGGCCGCGGCTCTCGTATTCGACATCTCACGCATGGCGACCTTTCAGTCGATGAAGAAGTGGCTGTGCGATCTCAGGGAGAAGGTCACACTGTCGGACGGCTCGAGCATACCGATTGTGCTTCTGGCGAACAAGTGCGACATTTCGGTCGCCGTGACCAACGAACAAATCGCCAAATTTTGTAGAGAAAACGACATAGACGCCTGGTATGCGACCTCCGCGAAAAATAACACCAACGTCGGTAGGTAATAGACTCGTATCAGGCTAGATATTGGAGCTCGTATCAGGCTAGATATTGAAGATCAGATATTAGAATTCGACAAATTAACTCATTTTGACTCTAACTCGTTTTGTCTCGACCAGGTTTGCGAGTAATTGCTTTTTCATTTATCGTATTTAATTGACAATTAACATGAGTCAATTGAAAACAGTTTAATGGATAATCGATTTCAACAAATTCAAGCGAAGACCTTTCGATATGAGCAAAGAGAATTAAAGATAGTTCAATTAATCGTTCGAATTAATTTGCTCGAGTCCATCGTCACAATTAATTGAATCGAAACATATTTGTTCCGATTTATTATTAAAATAAAACAAATTTAATAATCTAATATTTTCACAACTCTGATCTCTCGATTGAGCAAGTCAAATTTTTATTTCGTACTCAATTTCCAGTAATTAACTGATTTTTTAAATTGAGAATTTAATTTCAAGATGTTTTGAATCATTTCCTTCTTTAACGTATAAACAGTTTTTAATTCCTTATATATATATATATATATATATATATATATATATAAATATATATATATATAAATATATATATATATATAATCATAATGCGATGAACTCTTATAATTGTATGTACTTTGTGACTTGAGAAACTAACTTTGCCGAGATATCAGCAAATAATTCACGGAATCGGGAGCTAATTCGCGTTATCGAATTTTCAGATGCAGCGATACGCTATTTGGTGGAGAAAGTATTGAGTGCGAAGATCGACGGCGGCGTGCGCGATTCGATACGATTGCGTGAGGTATCGTTGAATCGCGAGAAATCTAGATGCTGCAAGTAGAGTGACGTGTAACCGGTTTGGAATTGTCAATTCATCCACGTGAACATTAGAACATTCATCAACGACGATGTGAGCGATTGAGAGACTGCCGAGCATGAAGATTACGAGAAACTCCACAAGATAACTTCAAAACGATGCTATGTAAATTATTTTTTCTCGAAAGATTTATACAACAATGTGCAGAATATTGTTTTATATTATACTTTTTCCCGTTATGTCGTTTGATGTTGATTGCCCCAAAATATTGTCCGCTAGACAAATCTAAAAGTTACACAGTAAAGTACATAACAAAATAACTGCGACAATTTACCGTCTCTTCGGCGAGCAAAAGTCGTTTATTGGATATCGAAATACGCAGTATGAATTTTTCACTATTACGGGAGATTTTCTATAATAACCAGGGTTGGAAAAGTTACTTTTTAAAAGTAATTAGTTACAGTTCCCTTTGTTGAAAATGTAACTAATTACAGTTACAAGTTACTGGCTATGAAAAGTAACTCATTACAGTTACTTAAAAAGTAACGAGTCGTTACTTTCTTGAAATAATTGTAAATTATTATCGTAAACAAAAATTTTAAGCTTTACTAAAATGTAAGAATTGAATTTTATAATTAATATCTATTACATTAATTAGTCTATCCATTTAACAAATTTCAAATCTGTACTTAACATAATAAAAATTTAATAATAGTCTTGTAGAGATAAAAGAATTTAATCATATGCTCCATAAATACATTAATAAATTTATTAAATTAATATACGATTACTATATAATTTTAATTTTATTTTACGTTTCTCAAGTAACTATTAAAATAACTGTTAAAAAAGTTACAAGCTACTAAAAATAAATAAGTTAAGTTACAGTTACCGAAAAAATGTAACTGTAACTTCGTTACAAGTAACGAGTTATTTCCCAACCCTGATGATAATGCACTCAACATCAGTCGCTCGAAAAATTTTTGTCAAAAAATAGAAAAAGAAATTGTATTGAATCATATACCCATTTAAACATAACAGTTTTTTTCTAAGCTTGTTTTAAGTTATTGATTTGCAATAGTGCAACGCACGTAGTGTGTACTTTTGCTTGTTATCCGATTAAAACTAAGGAGCGAAAGGCCCGTGAATGCAAATGCCAAAATATTTCGCTCAAATCGCCATATTTTAAGACGTCGTCGTGTAGTTCATAAGAATATACAGCGGTGCCCTTATAGAAAAATATTACTAGCTGCGATAAATTGGCCAGTAATAAATAATAATTTTATTACTCGTGTGAGTAATAAAATTTTTGGACGACAGTAATTATCACTGGCCAAATTATCACTTATCGATATTAAATTTCTATAAGGGTGTGTGAATGCAGGGGAACGACAAGCAATTTTCCTATGAGACTTCAGTGTCGTATACATTTGTTGTCGAAGATACAAACTTTCTATTTTTTTTTCTTCAATAAACTAGGCCTGTTATTTATATTCAATCGTCTAACTACCACCTTAACATCTCCTATCATGTCCTGAATGAACTTCAGCATCTCAATACGCACTTTATTGTTTTTGATATCCTTTGAACTGTTCAAGGTTCTGTGTCGTTGTCTGAGACATCGCTGGTGAATCGCGTCATCTTTTTTGTGCATCATCAAGTCGTAGTAGAATTCGTCCGTGATATCCTGCAGCTTCCTAGGCGAGTTACGTCTAGTCCGTGTTTTAGTTCGCGAACTACGACGAATCTCGTTTTTCTTCTCTTTCATCGCTTCTTTCGCATCGCTGTTCCTACTCTCCGCGATATCTTCGAGATCGATCATTACGCGCGATTTGTGTTCATTCTTCGTCTTCGTTTTTTTGTCTTCGTTTCTTGTCTTCGTTTCTTTGTCTTCGTTTCTTGTCTTCGTTTCTTTGTCTTCGTTTCTTGTCTTCGTTTCTTTGTCTTCGTCCCTCGTCTTTGTTTCCTCGTCTTCGTTCCTTGTCTTCATTTCCTTATCTTTGTTCCTCGTCTTGTCAGTGTCTGTGACCTCGATGGCGGACTCGTTCGCTATACTAGGATCTATGTCGCGACTTCTCTGCAACGAAGCATTTTTCATGCTCTTTGTGCATTCTTTATCTCGCTTATGATCGTCATTTTCCGATTTCATTGATTGCTCCCTCTTTTCCATTAGGTTTTTGTCCGTCGAATGGCTCTCGTTATTTGTGATATCAGAATGTTGCTGTTGCCCATGAAACTCACCTGAACTCGACGGAGCATTTGTTTCGGAAGCTGCGCTCTCCGTGGACGTCGTACTCTGCGTTTCCTCTTTGTCGTTGTGCGCAATTGGAGTCTTGTAGGCAGCTTTTGCCAAAGAGAACGCGCGCGTATGTCGGAGAATCTTTTGCAACGCGAGTGGTATTTGCTCGACGGTGATCACCTTGTTTGAGATCACTCTCGGGACACTAGTCGGCCTGGTCTTCTCAGAGGTCAACAAAGTTTCGCTCGTAGGTACTTTATTAGAACTTAAAGAGTGGCAAAACGTCGGCGGTGAATTATCGTGGTTCTTCATGGACGCATCGAATTTACCGATGTCTTCGATGTCCATGTCGTCCATCAATAATTCTGTATTCGGCGGATTTGCGTTTGTCTCCGAAAAGATTGTGGAACGAAAGACCTCGGGAATAATATCTTCCTCTTCGTCCTCCACCTCCTCAATGTATTTTCTTTCTTCTTCATTTATCATTTCAATATCGTTTTGCTGCATATATTCTTCATCTCGCTCATGATCATCAACCCAGTCCACTGACTGATCTAGTTTCTCCGTACTTCTGTTCGCCGAGTAGTTGCCGTTATTCGTGCCAATAGAACAAGTTCGTTGCTGTTGCCATCCGAACCTAGGTGAACTCGACTGATCCATCAAGCTGCACCGCTCATAATTAGGGATACTTAATTTGCTCGTCGCTTCATCTACATAATCGATATTGTTTAAATGACACGCAGTATTGCTAACATTTGGTGGCGACGGATGCGTGCTATTGCCGATCATGCTATGGTTAGCCCTGTGCTGCTCGTCCTTATCACGTGGCGGATCAATCATTGTGATTAGGTTCTCCAACCTCAGCAGGCTCGAATTCAATAGGCACTTTTCCCCGGCCTCGGTCTCGACCTTCTCGGAATTCTCCAGCACCTCGTCCACCTCCAGTTTGGTCTTCTGCTCGATCACCGCCACGCTGTCCCGATCTTGTCGAATGGTGAACATCAGACCTTCCATCACCAAATCGGTGATGTTGGAGGAACGCAATACCTTATCGTCTGCCACGGTCCTTCTCTCGAAAAACTCCCTGCTCCTTTGCTTGCGTGCTCTGCACGATTTGCTGTACGTACTGCTTTGTGCACTATCGTCGACAACGCGAGTCGAAATCGGTGCAAGCCGCTTATCTGACGATTTGTCTATTTCATCATGTTGTTTTCTTTGCGTAGATTCCTCATTGGCCTTCTCATCCACCACCTTCGACGCAAAGTTTTCGTTTGCGTTGTTCGCTTCGGATGTGTCTTGCTGAGAATTCCCTTGCATCGATTTATCGACAACTGGCGGAGCCGAGGCCGATCTCGCACTCGTCCGGTATTGACCTGCATTATTTATGTCTTTCTTGATAAGATATCGATTCGTTACTTTGCTAGAATCCACAATACTCTCTCCGATGTTATCGTTGTCAGTTGAATTATTTTTATCATCGGCAACATCGTGCCGCACTGAGTCTTCGTCAGAACTACTTTTATTCAACAGTCGTTTATCTACATTGTAATCATCTTTTATTATCTTTGTAGAAGAAGGCTTGGACGAAAATGATATCTGATATTTTAGGGTTTTCGGTGCTTCTTGATGTTGTCTCTGTATCTCTGCGAGTTTTGTCTTTTTGTTCTTACCATCTATTTCCTCAACTTCTTGAGTCTCATTCTTCCTTTTTGCAGTTTTCAATTGATCCTGCCTGTGAGCAGCAGGATTTAATTTCGTCTCCTTTTCAGGTCTTCTACTGTTACCATTCGTTAACTTATTCACACACATGCTGTCATGAAGTTCTGTATTATACTTATCAGTGAGATCTTCTTTGGTCACGGTACACGTTGTCGCATTTTTAGTTCTACCGTCTGGTTTTTCACGCTTAGCAGATTTTTCCATAATATTATTTTGAAGAGTGGAATTGACTGACGCTTCTGATGTCTCATTTAACATATTCTCGCTGTGTTTTAGGATCTGATTAATTCTCCTGCTTGGACATGTTCTGAGCTTTCTTGAGGACACTTTGTCAATGGTATGTATCACAGTTTTCGCGTCTTTCTCATCGTTATCTGCAGTGTCACTCGAATCTTTTAATTCAGCACCAGCGTTAACCTCTTTAACGATTGGATATTTTAAATCGTACAATGACTTCTCCTCTGATGAGGAGCAGATCTTTATGGTCAATACGAATGCGTGTGAAAATGCCGCAGCGCTGGTTCGTTGCTGGAACTTGAGTATCGCGAACATCTTGTCCTGGCGCGTCCACGACGTACAATCTTTTTCCAATCACATCAAAGTCAAGGAATTTCCATGCGATTATTGAAACTCTACAGTCTTATTTTATAAAAATTTAATCTTAAAAAGCGAAGATAACACTAGTAAATAGAAAAGGATACTATAAGTGACGAGGAGATGCTGCGTGCCAAATTGCTGACCCTGCGATGGATGACATTTTATAATCCTGCGAATAATCTTTAACAATTCCTTCCCATATAAAAATTGTGTACTATTTCTGAAAATATGCACAATTTATTTATTAGATTATTAATATTTAATTTATTATTTCCAGATTTCTCGAGTGAGGATAACAAGATAGCAATATCGATATTTTACTTTGTTGTACGATGATATTTAAAGATGAATTTGTATATATTCTTCTTATTACATAACCAGTAAGAGCCAGGCACAGTTAAAAGGGACTCCTTCTCTTGGTCGATCCAATCAAGTTGGCTAAACGTATGTACATGTATTCCAGGCATTTTCTTTCGGGCAACAAATCTTGGAACAATGGAACTAATCTCCTGGAGTCCTGTCTGCCAACCGACTCTCTTACAATAATAGTAAGGCAATAAAGTACCCTTTGCTGAAAATATTTCTTTGTAAAGTCACTTTGTCTCTTTCTCAACAGCAAATGTGATAAACTTACCCCCTTTATGACTTCACCAATAAATATATCCTCCACCGTGTCCCATAGTAAGAACTCTGTAGATGTAAAGATGCCAAATACTCTTTTACTTTCAATATGTATGCCTATTGATTCTACAACCAGTAATGTGTCTGCAAATATATCAATATATCAATTAATCAGATACATATTGTTTGCAAAATATCTTCTAGTACAGATTTGGGCTGAGATTCACAACTTACCTTGTTTGATAGAAGCAAGAAAGGATTTATATTGCAATGTTACAATACAAGCTGATATGACAAATGGGATTGAAATCCCTGATACAATCCATAGAAACAAAGTTGCACAGGAAAATGCTAAACAGAGGTTGACATTAAGACATTTTTTGCTTTGCAAAGCAAAATTTATAATGTTATCAGCATTTGAGCTTCGTCTCTCTTCCAGAGTTAGTTGTTCTCCATCTGCATTTCTGAAGAACAATTCAGTAGAAGGTGTTTGTGCGAGAAAATTCGACGACATCAATACTGCTTTTGGGTACAAACATTTGTGCAAATCCTCAAGTTTGTTGACTAACTCAGTGTGTGCAGGCAGAGTGCATCTGTATTTGAAGATAAATTCTACGTGTTTATTACGTTCTTGTTATCTTTTAAAATCTATTAAAGCAATTCAACATACCTATCACTTATTCATCCAATACATAGAGTGATGAAATACAAAGCACTTTGTAAGATTCATATCCTATTCCGTGAAATATAAAGTACGATTAACAATAACAAATGAACACAGATGATGTAGCTTCATCCTGTTGATTAAATATCAATCGTAGAAATTAAGTTGGCGTATACACATATAAAAAAAATATATGTATGAATATGACGTTAGTATAAACGAAATTAACGTGAAACAATGCCATACAGTTAGCGAAAGATAGAGAAGAGAGGAATGAAATTATTTTAATTACTAAACTATTTTGTTCTATATTTCTTAACTAAGCGTATACCTATATGTATATCTAATGTAAATATTCCAGAATATGATAAAAGAAATCACTGCTTGTCGTTTCTACAGTCACGTCTTAGGCCAATATTACATGTGTCGTACGACCAGCTCGTCAGACGTCCCAATTGGCTGTCGAATAAAGAAATTCTGGGATATCTAAAGGAAAAGTTTGGGACCTTAGGAGAATTCTATCAATCAACCAATCGACACGCCCGACAATCTTGTCGTACGACACATGTAATATTAAGCTGCTTTCTATGAGCGGTTCTAATCTGCGTTCTACGCAAGTCACGTTAAGATATCATGACTAGTGCGTCACTAATAATCTGTTAATGAGTTTCCTTATCCTTATCTACATTAGATACAAATTAACATTAGACACGAATTTACGAATATATTAAAAAAAAACACTGTTTCACTAGAAATTGAGATTTAATCGTTGATAAGAACCCACACAGCACAGAAGTTTCAAAAAGCTTTTAAAAAGATTTCAGGAAGATCTCAGAAAGGTTTAACGTTCCTGTTGTGTCTCTGAAACCTTTCTGAAAGCTTTTTGAAACTTCTATGCTGTGTGGAAAGTGAGACATGAACATGGAAACGTCAAGTTAGAGAAATGTTGTCATCTATCTTTGTTAAAAAATCTACTCTAGAGATATAAAGCTCGAAAATTGATTATATGAATCTCTTTTTTCAATGTGAACTTGTGAAAAGTGAAAATTGCACGACTTGAAAGCATTTGAAAGCTTTCACTTTTAATGATTTCATACTAGGGAAAAAGATCATAAGATTAATAAGATCGAGTTCACGTGAAAAGAAATCCATGAGTGATGCGCAGGAGTCGTATTCTCGATGAGTATTCGAACGCTAAATACGCCTTTCTGATTCTAAAGATAAATAAACTTTATATGAAGGCTCTCGTGTAAGAACGAAACTTGAAATAAAAAAGACATATACTTAGCGTTCGAATATACGTCGAGGATATGGTCTTAAATCTCTATATCGGAATTCCGGGTGCGTGTGCTTGGCCAAGAAAGTAATATCAGTGGCATCTCAGATAGCACAGAGAACTCAAAAAAAAATTCAGTCGTATATCATCAATTCTAAGTTCATTTTTAGACACAAAAGGAGCTTTTTGCACTGAACTAAACTCTGAAGAATTCTTTTTGCATATGAAAATGAACTCAGAATTGGTGACATACGACTGAATTTTCTGTGCTATCTGGAGCAGTACCAATGTCGCGCAACACCGAGAGTGGAAAAGCAAGGCAGATCGGCGGGAGTACAGGAAGGAAGAGCGCGCGCACGGAACGTGAGCGCACTCGAATCGACTACGGCCACGGCGGCTGACGGTGGGGGAGTGAAACAGCACCTGCTGCCATTCTGGCATTACGTCAATGGTGGACGTCTCATTCGCTGGTTTGGGAGGAGTTGCCGTGACCGCCATTGTTACAACTCCGTCGTCGTATTATACGGAGACGTGAATCCGCGCTTTCTCCGTGGGCGCGCATCCGTGTTGCAATTATCGAGGAGCCGCCACCCCGGGCCCGATAGCTCCGCGCCTGCCGTCAACTGGACGACAAGCCGTCAACCAAAAGCGTTCTCACGGCGTAGCATGTCCACGATGAATCCTGAATAGTAAGTGAACTGGCTCTCGCGCAGCAGACATAAGCGCATCGAATCCGCGCCACGCATCGCCGTTCGTGTATCGACGTGGACGTTCCGCGCGAGAAGGAGAACGAGAAGGACGGCGCGTCGTCGCTCTTTCGAACGGAGTCCGTCCACCGCGCGATGGAGAAGCCGTGGAAAAAAAAAAGCATCCTTCGGTCTCCACCGTCTGACAGATTCGCCTTCCCCTCCCGTCCCCTCATCTCTGTTACCTGCACGACACTCGCTTGCTGTATGTGTGTGTGTATATGTCTCATTTCGGTATTTTGTGTATCATGTCGCCGTGTGATTTCGATCTCAATCGTCCGCCAATGACAGAATCGCGATCGACGAACTTTGGAATTCGCGGAGATCCGATTCGCGGAACGTCTGTCGATGCACTCTTACGTTGGACTTTAGGTGTGAGAGACGACCGTGAATCTTTTCCTCCAGCGTAGATCCATGAAAAGTGGAAATTCGCATTTTCAAGTTGGCAAATCTTGGCGAGTTCACACTGGGAGGGAAGATTCGTCATCAACCTATTGTTCTTTTTGAGCTAGTGCTGTACTGGAGCTTTGTTCCTTTTCTCTCCAACATTAGGTTATATAGGATGAGTCATCTTTAATATATTAGATTCTATAATCTGTTAAATGTTTTTTGTTATTTTCTGTATTAGGAGAAAATATATAAGAAATAAATTGTTGTTGGAAGGGTTGGCTGACATTATTTATTCTTTGCACATTATTCTCTGATGTAAAAACTAACAGATATATTTCAGGATTTTATGTTAGATGATTCATGCTGTACAGTAAAAATATAAATGCTTCGACATATACTTAATTTATATATTCATATTATCCTGTGTTTAAATATCAATATTTAAACTTTCAACATAAAGTATAAATGTATTTAATGTGTACATATATTTTGTTTTTTTGAAAATTTAAATAATCATATTTAAAAACCAAAATAAGAATGTTCAGGATTAGACATAGAAAAATATTCTACTGCTGAAAAAAGCAATTACGCTGTTTATCTTCCTTCTTTTAAATAACTTATCTTCAACAAAGAATATATTTTTTGATAACAGCCTTAAAATACACTTATCGTAAGTTTTAAACAAGCTCATTTTATCATGTACTTAAAAGAAAGATTTCTGATATAATATTTACAGAAATATTATAAAACTTTATCAAAGAGAAAATTTTCATGTAGTAAACAGGTTTTTGTCCTTAATTTAATATACTTAATTGAAATACTAAACTCATTAAAATATAGAATATATGGTGATTAAATTCTATGATAATTCTTATATGATAAACTTGCATATATGATTGCACTATATAATTTGCAGATATATAAATTTCTGAAATACTTGAGACATTTATAAATATAAACTTGCGATATTCTTGAAACAAATAACATTTATTTAAATGCAATATGTATTTTTCTGTGTATATATGTTGAAAATTCCTGCTTTTATATCTGTTTCACTCTTATAGTGGAACTCAACTCGGTTAAAGAAAATAGCCCTTTGGGTCTTTCCTTTTTTATCGAAAAACTTGCATTTTCCTTATAAACAAGAAATTTCTTCTGCATTTTGCTTGTAAACAAGAGTTTCCTCTCGCGCTCGCGACAAAACGTTCGACGATTTTCACTTGCGAAACGATCAGCGCGCTGGTACAGCTGGACTGAAACGTTTTCCTGTTTCAGCGATTACCTGTTCAAGTTACTTTTAATCGGAGACTCCGGTGTCGGCAAGTCGTGTCTGCTGTTGCGTTTCGCCGATGACACATACACGGAAAGCTACATCAGCACCATCGGCGTAGACTTTAAGATCCGCACCATCGATCTGGATGGCAAGACGATAAAGCTACAGATCTGGGACACCGCGGGTCAGGAACGGTTCAGGACAATTACGAGTTCGTATTACCGTGGCGCTCACGGTATCATCGTTGTTTACGACTGCACGGACCAGGAGACATTTAACAATGTAAAACAGTGGTTGGAGGAGATTGACCGTTACGCATGTGATAACGTCAATAAGCTGCTAGTTGGCAACAAATGTGACCTGCACACGAAAAAAGTAGTCGATTACACAACGGCCAAGGTAAAGTGGGCGCGTGTTTCTCTTTCTCTTTTGCTCACTGATACGATGATAATGGAGTAAAACGTCCAGAAATCAGCATTCGATTTATTTTCCGCATTCTTACGCGGATTTTATCGAATATTAAACAAAATTAATTAATACTATCAAGAAAAATATTAATTTTTTAAAAGAACTTATGGAGATTTATTTATTATTTATTAATTATTAGTCAATATTTATTTTTTCTAAATCCACATACACATTAAGGTATTTATTATTTGAGGATTTATGATTGTATTTTTATTTATTTGCATTCATTATTTATTGTATATGTAAATATTTATTATTTATTATTTCATTTATTTTTTAATTCACATTACACATTAAAAGATGTACGTGAATTAAAAAAATAAACAATAAAATGATAAATATTAAATTCTAGGATTTCTTGAGAAAATATTAATTTAATATTTATTAATATTTGATAAAATCTGCGCAAGAAAACCGCAAGAATACCGAAAACAGGCAGAGAGTTCTGGCCACCTATTCCTTTGTATTATCACTCTGTTAAGTCGTCCTGTTTCACGAACAAGCCTTTGTTAATTCCGCATCTTTCTGTTGCAGGAATACGCAGATCAGCTTGGTATACCGTTCTTAGAAACCTCGGCGAAGAACGCAATGAACGTAGAGCAAGCTTTTATGACAATGGCCGCGGAAATCAAACTCAGAGTGGGCCCACCGTCGAGCGGAGCGAGCGATCCGGCTAATAAGGTGAAAATAGAGCACGGACGCCCAATTGAATCCTCCAAGTCTGGATGCTGCTGAGAACTGTAATTTTGCGTCCCTTTAACCAAAGTAAGCGAAATTAAGCAAGAGAAGGAAAAAGAGAGAAAGAAGGCGATAGTGAGGTCGATGCGACCCGATTAACCTCTCGAGCAGGCACGAATCGTCGAGGGGGATGGCAGACGAACAGAGAGAGACAATCGCAATCTTTTGTTTTGCAGAAACATCTAACGGTTGCGGTCCGGGTACTGCGGAAAGTAAACTTATTACTGGAGAGCATAAGAACGTACCTGGAAGTTTCAGTTTATACCAACAGACAGAGGAAGAAAAAAAGAGCAAAAAGAAAAAATCTCTCTCCTAACATACAAACATACACACACACACACACACACACACACACACACCCTCATGGACCATGGGTCAACTCCTGTCGCGCGGGGTTGTACAAAAGTCTCTTGTTCGCCTGACCTTTTCTCTTTCCTCTTCTACTTCTTTTTTGTTGTAGCTAATCTTACTGAGGGAGAAAGGACGCGACGTTTGCTCCACGCTATATGTTATAGCATAAAAACTTCGACTTTAGTCGTCGAATTAGCATCGATTTTAAACATGTCTTTATCGAGTGCGTGCGTGTGTGCGCAATAAGGGGTGACCCGAGAATCTTGAGAAGATTAAGTCGGATAATATCGTGTATGGTGGTTATAAAGAGTAAGCACTTTGATTTTCTTTTCTGTTTTTTTTTTTTTAGCCTAATTGTAATGTGTACAATTGAAGTATGTATGCGTTTTAGCCGTGTGACGACACGGTGTCGCGTTTCTATTCCTCTAGTAATTCTATAATTCTGGAACGTCGTTTCTCACACACGTCTTTTTCGTTTCCCGTCGAAGTGCGCGCGCGAGAACTCTCAGATCGAGTCTGCCCTTTTTCTTTCTTTTTTCTAGTGAGATTCCATGGACAATGATCGCCGTACCATCCCTTCCCCCCAAACTTCTTTCTCACCGCTCATTAGTGTAATTTAATAACATATTAATAAATATTTCAACATTAACTCTCTCTCGGAACGCATACATAGCGCACCTCTATGGTATATACATATATGTATACACACACACATATATATGTGTGCAAGATTGGCGCATGTGATGATTATTCGTGCACCAAGCGATAAGCCAGGAGAGACAGCGAAAAGCTTCCGTTTGTGTTTTCTTTTATCGACAGTATCGTCGATCTTTTTTACAATTCAAATACGATCCGAATATCGATTAAAGGGTTTTAACCGGGTTTCGACTTGTGGATCGAACAGAAAGAACGAGAGAGAAAGAAGATAGGGATATTTTATACCAGTTAAGATATTACAGTTACATTTAATCTCCAAAATCGTATCTTTGTATCGTGAAAATGCTACTGTGACGGGTATACGATAACGGCACTCGAAAAAAAGTTTACAGATATAGTAACTGTAATTATATAAAATACGGAAGAATAAACAGCCATCTAAACGGAAACCGCTCTTTGACTTTGCACTTTCGACGCTGCCGTTTACTTCTCCGCGATATCCTTTTCTTAGTCATTACGTTATTATATGCATGGTCGTTAATAGAATAGTCATAAAAGGAACAGTAGTACTAGCAGTGGGAGAAGAATAAGATCAGTGTGGTGGTGTGATCGCTTGCCACGTGTTGTGTAAATTAGCACAACCTAGAAAATCAAACTGAAAAATCTCGATTGATATCGCAGATATCAAACTCGGTGCGCAGAGTGTCGTGTGGCGCTATCTAACGACGCCGAAGAACCCGTTTGTTTGAATCTCAGCTGAGTAGGTTTGAATCTTGACTAAACAACCTGTCATTCTTATTAGTTCCAAAATTTCCGCTACAAGCCGCGCCATTCATGTCTAAAGCCAGCGGCACACGATGCTTGTTTTCATGCTGGATTGCTTGCTGGATGGAAATACTCTGTTCTGATTGGTGCATTTCTGGAGACGGACCAATCAGAATAGAGTATTTCCATTCAGCAAGTAATCCAGCACGAAACAAGCACATCGTGTGCTGCTGGCTTAACCCGAGGTCATAATACGACTCAATGACGGGTCAGACAGACTTTTATTTTCAAGTAATATGAATCGGAACTCTTCATTTTTAAACGCAATTCAACGTTAATTCCATGAAGTAAAAGGTAAGAAGACCGAACTTGATAGGGTGCGAGTAGAGAAAGTGGTCCTGATTCGTGTTCCCCAATTAAGAGGGAATCCGCTGAAAAGAATAACTTCTTATGGTTGGGCGCCATTTGTAAAACAATAAGTTAGAGCGAGACAAGATATACTTGTCTCTTTCTTACTGCACCAGTTCAGTGGTGCAACTCTTTAAGGCCATCACATACAAAATTCCATAAGAACTTAAAACGTAAGCGTAAAGAAATCGACCAATCCCAATCGAGCACTCGGCTCTTCGTAACCTCTCCATTATTACGAAGAGCCGAAAAGTTCTTACGGAATTTTGTGTGTGATGGCCTTTAGCTGCACCACTGAACTGGTGCAGTAAGAGAGAGACAAGTATATCTTGTCTCGCTCTAATGGCTTCTGTACACAAGACGCGTAATGCTTGCCGCGCGGCGAAAGTTCGCGCGACAGCCAATCAATATGCTGCTTTCCGTAATAACTTTCTAGCTCTTACGGAAAAACAACATATTGATTGGCTGTCGCGCGGACTTCCGCTGCGCGGCAAGCATTACGCGTCCTGTGTGCAGGAGCCATTCTTTTCAGCGGATTCCCTCTCAATTGGGGAACACGAATCAGGACTACTTTCGTTATATGGAGTACGACCTCCTTCTCTCTTACTTCATGGTTGATTCTAACGAACTTTTCATTTTTACTTCGAAGAAGTATGAATTGGTGGCTAGTTCAGTGATTTTTAATTTTCAAGTAGTATAGTTAAACGACGGATCAGACGAACTTCTCATCCTTCAGTAACATGACCGAGAATCTGGTCGTGTAGAGTTCGTCTGTACCTTTCAACGAAAAATAAAAGACCTTTCGACTTGACAATGAATTATTTGTACGATAAATAAATAAACAACATCAATAACAATGATCATCTCGATTTCGTAACACTTGTGCACCCTTCTAGATCGAGTGTGATTTAACCTCATTTTTACTTGCTGTTCGGCGAGCATAAACCACTTCAAAATGATGCAACAATACATGAAGGAGTTAGAACAGGTCTCAGTATTTCTTCTTTTCCACCAACTGACTCGCTTGCTTTATTACACAATTGTTGCTTGATCTGTCGTTTATACGAGCGTACCGAACGTCGATGACACCTGTCAAATAGTGAGCTGTCAAATGTGATGTTAGATTCGTGTGCGATCTGAATTTATAAGTAGTACTGTAGATAGATTTAATTTTATGTTGCAAAGTTTACGAATTGCTATTGTCATGAAGAAAATCTCTAACTTTTGCAGGATCCGTTTGATCCTGAAGAATTCGTCGAGCGACTGGCTTGGAGAACTGTCAACGATAATACGAAGGACAGAGGGAAAACCTTTTTTGATCCTGTCATCGTTCACGAGACTTTCTTGCAGGCTATCAAGGACCTACAGATACTGCAAGAACGGCAGCAAAAGAAGTGTGACAAGTTGGAAGCTGCACTGAAGGAGGAGGAGGCCAGGCATGCGTTTGAGATATTGGAACTGCAGGAGAGAAACAGACATTCCATCGATCTGTTTCATCAGTTGGACGAAAGAATCAATCTCGTCGCCACTAAAGTCTTGCATTTGGGTGACCAGTTAGAGAGCGTCAATACACCAAGAGCGAGAGCAGTGGAGGCTCAAAAACTGATGAGACACTTTTCAGAATTCCTGAGCCCTGGCCCATTGACTGATCCTATCTTCATAGATAAATCATCGGTGAGAATTGACGCGAATTTATCAAATTATAGAAAATAATAAAATAGTAATATAATAGAATAACGATAGAATAACAATAAAATATAATAATAATAGAAAATAAAACAAAAAATTGATAAATACTCCACTGATAAATAATCAAGTAAACTAAATAGGAGTCAATAAGAGCTTATGTACTGGCTTATTGATGTAATCACAATCGAAAACTTATAGACCTTTATTCTAAGGTCTATTCTTTGAGTATATTTCTAAATGTGACTTAAGATAAACCTTTAGATAGACTAGATACTTTTATTGATAAAAGAGAACTTATAAAATAAAAGCCATAATATCCAGTATTATATAAATGTGTGTATATTATATATATATATATATATATATATATAAAAGTTAAAATTACTTAATTTATTAATACATTAATGAAGTTAATGTGTTTTAAAATAAATAACTAGTTTAAGTTAACAGTTAAGTTATTTAAAACAGTTAACAGTCAACAGTTAATTTATTTAAAATTTAAACTATTCAAATTCGGTTAAAAAAGTTATTAAATTTTTCATTAATTTTTAACTGGATTACCCAACTCTGATTATATACTGCAAACTCCAGACATTTAGCTTCTGTTCCGGATCTTTTACTGGATATCATCAGTTTTCATGTATTATTGTACTAATAGATTCATGGACAGGCTCTTATTGATTTCTATTAACAGAAAGTAAGCAATTATTCTCTTTTAATAATCTTTTCATTACTTTTTAGTTGAACGACGCGGCGGATGTGATACAGAAACTCCATCTCATAGTGCAAGAACTGCCCTCCGAGAAGTTCGAGCATGCCAAGAAGAAGATCGGCGTCAAATACGACGAGATCGAGCGAAATTTAATCGAGGAATTTGTGAGAGCGCACAACAGAGAAGATGCGGCGCGCATGAGGGAATTGGCGGGCACCTTGGCCCATTTCAAAGGTTACTCCCAGTGCATTGACGCGTTTATTGAGCAGAGTCAGATGGGCTCGTTCGGCGGGAAAGACGTCTTTCAGGACGTCATACCTATGTGCACCAAGTACCACAAGCTCATGCAACAGGTGTTCACCAATCCTGAGCAAGTGATGGCGAAGTTCGTGCTCAATATCTATCACCTGCGCCTACAGAAGTACGCGGTAGCTAAGTTGGCCGATAAAACCGACTCCGACAAATACCTCAGGAACCTGTACGACCTGTACACACGTACGGTCAAGTTGTCCAACGACTTGAAGATCTTCAACATGGGCACCGATGATACGTACCTCGGCAAACTCACCAGGAACATCTTCCAGAAGTATCTGGACACCTACATCACGTAAGCTCGCGACAAATCGGATGGCACGTAGAAAAACGTAAACAGTGAAACTTAAACAATAAGCGAATTGGCCGATTACACTCGAATTATTGAGAGTTTGAAAGTATCACGTTGAAATTTTCGAGTGTGGTCGATTAATTCGTTTATTGCTTGAATCTTGTTACTTATGTTTCTCTGCGTCTTTATTTCGGATGTTGCGGATGACGCAGCTGGCCAATAATTTTGTACGTTACCGATCCTATTTTCAGTATCGAGACGAAAGCGTTTCGGGAGAAGTCGGCGGCGCTGCTCATCGAATACTACGAGTCCAAGAATCATCAGAAGAAGCAGCTGCAGACGGGCGGCTTTCAAGAGTTGCGCAGAGATTTGCAGGCCGTGCTGGGTGCAAGAACGAACATAAACATCGCTCAAATCGAAGACTATGGCGGCGAGACGTTTCTCTCAGAAGAGTTGGCGATCGCGATTCTACAGAGGAGTAAACTCGCCTTCCAGAGATGCCAATTGCTTTCACAACCGGTTGACGTGCCCGTGAACGCGCTCCAGATCTTGGAGATACTGCTGCAATATTTGATAAGCGAGCACGTGGACTACGCGCTGGAGTTGGGCCTACAAAGCGTGCCGATACCGGAGAGCAGGACTCAGCCGGAAATTCATTTCTTCAACGTGGTACATCAGTGCAACGCGATCGTTCGGCTCTTGGAGGAGCAGTTCAACGACAGCGTGTTGCCTCTCGTCCTGTGTGTTCCTTGTTCGCATACCATATTTTTACAGCAGACTTGGGGAAAATCACTTCTTAAAATTTACTTATTTTCGTTACTAATGAGAAAAATAACGGCATTACCAAATCGTTACTGAAGAAAAAGTAATTTGTAACAGTAACAGCGTTACAAGTAACTTCCTGATTCTGCTCTGTAACAACAGAAATTGATGAAATATGAGGCTATATTGCGCAACTTTCTTTCTCTCTTTCTTCAACAGGTCGACGCCTAAACACGCGGACTGCTTGTTAAAGAAAAAGGCGATATTGGAGCAGATCGATGTGAAGCTAGACACCGGCTTGGACAGAAGCATAAATGCCATTGTGGGCTGGGTGAAGATGTATCTGCAGAGTGAGCAACGGAAGACCGACTTCAAACCGGAGACCGACGTAGACACCGTGAACACGCCGGCCTGCTTGGTGGTGGTTCAGTACGTCAGCGGCATGATACGGTTGATACGAAATACACTGGACGGCAGACACTTGGACACTGCTCTGAAGGAGCTGGGCATTCGATTTCACAAAGTGATCTACGACCATCTGCAACAATTTCAATTCAATTCGGCCGGCGCGATGTGCGCGATATGCGACATGAACGAGTATCGCAAGTGCATCAAAGAGCTGGAGGTCGAGTTCGTCACGAATCTTTTCGATACTCTACACGCGTTGTGCAATCTGCTGTTGGTCAAGCCAGAGAACTTGAAGCAAGTCTGCACGGGAGATCAGTTGGTATGTTGTTGTTGTTGTTGCTCGATTTTGACTGTCTTCGAGGAATCTAGAGACGCATTTGTGATTCATTGTGATTGCAGATGACACTCGATCGTACCGTTCTACTGAATTTTATTCAATTGAGGACTGATTACAAGACACAGAAGTTAGCCAATTGCTTAAAGGGTTTAGCAACATGATGACGCATGCAACTCACATAAAGAAAGGATGCTCGAGATTCTACCGAAGTCCTTCGTGAATCAATGAGATCTCGCTACCGGAATCATTGAAAGAAAAAGAAAAAAATTGCCGTGAGACAATATTTGTGTATTTGCTTAGAAACGCGGCGGATTTCGTCGCCATCGGGAGAAACCCTCGTGCGTATTGTAAGATTTACACGCGAAACGCTTGCAGAAGAAGATTGCTTTCTCTTTCTTTCTTTCTCTGTATGTAAAAATTTGTTTGTTTGCTTGTTATGTCTTTTTTTTTCTCAACGAAAGTCGCAATATTGATGAGAAACACAGTGCATCAATAAATAAAAACTCACGCAATAAAAACGCCAAAATTGGACTGAAATTCTTGCATTTCTTCGAGCATCCTATGTAACATATAATGTACAAGCAAAATTCGATTAAAGTAAAAGCAAATAATTCTCAAGATGGAGAATTTTGGCGCACAATTACATTTTATTGATTACCAAATGTTAGTTACAATTATATCATTGTAAGTAATAATACCTTTTGCAGCATTAGGACGAGATTTCGCTAGGAGACGATCAAATCGATTTTTTTTCCTTCCCACAATCTCATTGGGTATGGTCAGTGTTGTGCGCGAAAATTCATTTCATTTTTTTTATTACAATATCTTGTCGACTGTTGGAATTTAGAATTATAAATACGACTAATTATTCCAGATTTGCAAGTTTATAGGAGAATCTCTATATAAAAAGTCGTCATTATACATTAAACGCCTAATTAGGAAGCATCTCATAGTTTCTAAAATTAAAGGTTCGCGTTGCTTTTCGATAGCTCGTACTATCAAGTGCCGTTGAGAGACACATGATCATTCCAGAATTCCACGGTAAGTAAGGGACTCAAGACTCCGGGTTTGATTAAATGATCTCATGAGCTATGAAAAATGGAGGGGGGAAGAGGACACGGCGATATCCGCTGAATATCAGCGCATACGGTAGGTATTGGTTTCGTGTACTTGGCACAGTTCCCCCTTAAAGTCCAACTCGATACTGAAGTCCAGATCTCTGTAATTTCTGGCATTCGGCCTCATCGAGAACACGCCGAAGATCTCCTCGCCTTTCTTCACCGTCATGTACTCGTCGAAATAAAAGACGGTCTGCTTCCAATGCGTGTACGGCACTTCCGGTGCGGTGCTGAAGCCAATGCGTTTGTGGCACTTGGTGAATTCGATGTTGAAGAACGTAACTAGGGCTTGCACGTAGTCGTTTCTGCGCACCTGGAGGGTGAACGGCGACGAGAACTCGAGGTCGGCCTTCGTCACGGTATAAAGATCGACTTCTTTGATTAGGCATGCATTTGTGACGACCTGTTTCGGGTCGACAACGTCCACTAACGGCTCGCTAATCGCTACTTTTCTTATGCTACTCATGTCGAACCCGTACACATCGTCCCACCAATTGATCTTCTCGTCCTTATATTGTCTGTCCTCAATTCCGCAGATAAAGAGTGTTGCTTTGTCAGGAAACAGCATACCGTCCTCGCGCAACCATTTGTCTCTGGCGAACAACACCGTATCTAGCATTGATTCATAGAACAAACAGTAACCCATCCATTCGGATATTATTATATCCACTTTCTCTATACCGTCGGGCAATGAAACCTCCTCGACTTTGCCTTTCAGTATCGTTATGACATTAGACAAGTTATTGGCTTCTACTATCTTTTCCGCGTACTCTACAATATTAGAGCACTCGATACCGATGACTCTAGCTGCACCGGCCTTAGCTGCGAACATAGAGAGGATTCCGGTACCGCAGCCGATGTCAAGAACAGTTTTTCCTTTGAAAAGATGTTTGTTGTGATACATTGAGTTGCGGTAGGTTACGGTGCGTACTTCGTCTTTCAGCATTTCTTCATGTATCCCATAATGAGCATAAGAATCAAAATAGTAGTCTCTTGAAGTCATATCGTCAACTGATATGGACTCCCTGCAGGATGAACCGCTGACTTCCTTATTTACGGTAGTAGGCTCCGCTATGTCCATAGATTCCATTTTGGATTCCTGCAAAATATTTATTCTCACAAATATGGCTTGGCAAATCTTCCAACACTTATGTCGGTTTCTACCAACGTCAATTGAACTTTAATCTGAGTTTAGACTTTGTCTAAATTTTTAGTTCAAATTCAGATTAAAGTTTAATCGACATTGGTAAGAACAAACATTAGACTTGATCTCACAACTTGTCTTAATCAGAGTTTAACTCATCAAAAACTTATCCAGACAAATTTGTATAGTCACATAATGGATATGCACAAAGAAACTAACCAATTATGATGTAAGATACTCTTTTATTACAAAGATCATCATGAGATGATTCTTTTATGCAAAATACGGTAATGCAAGTTTGTTTGAATGGCTTTTAACAAGTAAAACTAAGTTGAAGTTGTGAAATCGAGTCATTTCTTTGTGTGAAACAACAACTGAATTTCAATTATGGAATTATAGCAGCAGATTCAAAATTGTTAAACAATAGTGATATATTTACAACAAAGAAAATTTTAAACTGTATACAATATATATTGAAATAAAATCACATGTAGTGTCATAACGGTTGATAATTTATCAAAAATTTAATCAATAATTATCTAAGGTTTTCGAGTATTTAATGAACTATGAGAAAACTGTTTTCCTATATACATTATTTTTAGCTTGTAACAATTATTCATTTAATCTTTGAACGATAAGGTGAAATCAACCATTCAGTATATATTTTTCAATGTAATCCATTAAACTGTGTTTGTGCCAGTCAAATATATTGAAAAAATATTTTAAATGTTATTTAAATTTTAAAATATTTTATATATATATATATATATATATATATAGCATGAAAATATTTTCATACAGTGTGTACGTATATATATATATATATATATATATATATATATATATATATATATATATATATAAAATTTATTCTCATTAAATTGCTGTTTACTTAACCCAATGCAAATTTTAATATATATAAAAAAACTAATCTAAAAAAATGTTGGAGTAATATATGACCCCACCTTGTCGTTTAAGGATCAACATTAAAACAGTGGAATCGCGATGCTCGGAATTTGAGGTAGTATGAATTTTGCAAAGCCTTTTAAAAAAACGCCTAAAAGAACGTCTGAAGAAGCAGGACGTCTATCAGATGTTTCTCTTCTAATGCTCGCGGAGATGCCCCAAGCACGAACTCATTGTTCTCACTTAGCTTTGTACTCAGCACGTTCTAACCTCATATGAGGATCTGTTTTCTATCGCTGAACCAATGTACACTTGCGGCACTTAAAAGGAAACAGATATACGATTGAGACTCAGTGGAAGAAAGAGAGAAAAGGAAGAGACCAGTGCAGCCAGTTCAGCAATGGAAAACGAACTTATGAGCACATTGCCATGGAAATCCAACAAAGAAACTTCGAAGGACCGCGACGATGGCTCAAAGAAAATCGAGCAAACAACCGTTATGCACAACATGTCCGAAGAGAAATTCAGTTGAAAGAATCACTTGATAAACTACGATATAACGCGCGATGCCAGCACGATTCCACGATTACGATAGAAGTTTACAATTTTGTTCATGAGTGCGAGCGAGAAAAGATGCCCAACGAGGTCCGCACACACCGGTGACGAGAATCAACGCGCGCACACGTGCCCGCCAAAACGATGGCGTCCCTCTCTAGCGATCGAATTAACCTCGAGTCGATATTCGTACGCGCTATATTGCTCTATCGCTGTATCGTCTTCTCCCTCTATCTCTCTCTCTCTCTCTCTTTCTCGTTGTCGCTCGCTCGCGACGGTTCCGGCCAAATTTTTTGCGCACAACGTTCAAGAGTGATTCGCTTGGCGTCTAACATCCGCGTTATGCAATTCACGACGCGAGAAGCCGCGACGCGCCGTTCCTCGCCGTGTCCGCCAGATCGCGAGTTTCGCTTTCGCGCGAGGCGAGACTAGGCGAGGGAGGGTTGTATATTGGTGACAAACGGACATTCCTGACTAGCGTTGCGAGGCTCGACGGCGCGCGCGGCCATCCGTAGATATCGTATCGAGACGCGTCAACGTTGACCCGCCCGAGACCGTCCTGTTCGCCGTCCCGTCAACCGGCCGAGCCGTAAAAACTCACCGAATTCTCCATGCCGCACACGCGATTCTGGTTCATTTCTACCGGCACTTCATTACTCGTAGTCGCCATTTTGTCCTGCGTCACAGCAGACGACCGGAGTCATCGGGGCCGTTGCTATAGCGCGGGAATATATGGGCGATTCTCAATGCGACATGTCGCTCGGTTAGAAATCTCTTCGCGCCTTCTCACATGCGCACTCTTCGCGCATGCGAATTTTTATTTGCAACTTTACGGGCCGTACATATGTAAACCTGTGCTGGGATTCTGTAACTCGTTATTGGAGTTAACGACAATTTCGTTATCGTTGCGCTTTTCTACGGTATACATAAAGCTGCGCAACGATAACGAAATTCCAATAACGAATTACAGAATCCCAGCATTGGGGCCCTATTCCGTAACCACTTACCGACAATTGTCGAATCGGTAGACGTCATTGCGCAGCTTTTTTATACCATAGAAAAGATGTCTTTGCCTCTGTGCCACCAACACAATAGGAAGTTTTTGCAAACATACGGTATAGATACGGTAAACGCTAAAATGACGTCATCGAGTCAAAAGACCAAACTACGCATGCGCATCGGTCACCTTAACGTTATTCAGATAACGTGCGAACGTTATTTTTGAAAAATAGAGTTTACGAGTAAACGCCGACGTTATGGCTACCAAAATGAAATCTAAACGGTTGAGATTCACAAGTCAAGATGATCTTATACTTTTAAGGGAGATTATGGCCGATATTTATAGTCAGATCTTATATTTAAATCATCTTAAGTACTGTCTTAAGATATCATGAACCAATCACAGAGCCGTATTCGCATCTTAAGACATTACTTCTTGAAATAAATTAATGGCACATGAAGCCCGTATCAGACTACCGACTGCACCGGCCGACCCGACTGCCGACTACGACTGCCGATTCTCAATGGACCAATCACAGTGAGGTGCTGACTCGGTGATTAGTCCATTGAGAGTCGGCAGTCGTAGTTGGCAGTCGGGTCGGCCTGTGCAGTCGGTAGTCTGATACGGGCTTTATGCTTGTTTCGTGCTGGATTGCTTGCTGGATGGAAATACTCTATTCTGATTGGTCCGTCTTCAAAAATGCATCAATCAGAACAGAGTATTTCTATCCAGCAAGCAATCTAGTATGAATACAAGCATCGTGTGCCGCTGTTTTAAGATTCGACTATGAATACCGGCCATAGGCCAGTATTCATAGTCTGATCTTATATTTAAGATCATCTTAAGTACTGTGTTAAGATGTCATAAACCAATCACAGAGCTGTATTCGTATCTTAAGACATTACTTAAGACAGTCTTGAAATAAGATTCGACTATGAATATCGGTCATAGACCAAGCATTCCTATACTTCTGCTGTAGCAGCGGTGAAGCCGGAAGTTGGCAGTTTAAAACAGAGTGAGAAAGTTGATTTGCCCCTAGTGCTTTCTTATTCTATCGTATAGAAAGAATATGGCTGCTGTCAAGTTGTCAAGTGCTATATATAATGCAAATAAAATTAAAAGAATAAAACCGTATATTTCACTTATCTCGATATAAATTGATATTTATAATATTTTATGCCGTGTATAAATAATTACAGCAATTAATCTTATCCTGTTCTCATTTTACTGTCACATGAAAAAGGTTAGGTTGCTATAACAGGATACAGTTCTTGGATAATGGCTCCTGCACATAGGACGCGGTAATTCTTGCCGCGCGGCAGAAGTTCGCGCGACAGCCAATCAATATGCTGCTTTCCGTAATAACCTTCTAGCTCTTATGGAAAAACAACATACTGATTGGTTGTCGCGTGGACTTCCGCCGCGCGGCAAGCATTACCGCGTCCTATGTGCAGAAGCCATAAGGTTTAGTGCTGTAAATAGTTTCATTTAGTGCTGTAAGTTCATTCAGAGCTACAAATGGATCAATTACATTGCTTTGTTTAATGTTTTAAAGTATTTGCAGTGTTAAATGGGCCTTCTTTCTTAACAATCAATAAGATAGAATGAGAAAGTACTAGGGGCAAATTAACTTTCTCACTCTGTTTTAAACTGCCAACTTTCGGCTTCATTTTGCGGACAGAATACTTGGTCTATGTATATACGTCATTGAAGGATTTACATCGCGTCCGCTGTCTGATGTACAACGTCCGATATCCAATAAAAGAATAGCTTTCCAATGGAGAATTGAATTTTCTATTAGAAAACTGTTCTTCTATTGGATATCGACGTCGTACGTGGGACATCGACGCGGTGTGAATCCTCCATTATATTTAAAACAGCTTAAGTTTAGTTTTAAAACTTTAGATGCTTTGTAGCCAATGAAATCATCAGTAGATCATCTAAAGATGAACTTAAGACGGTTTTAAATATAAGATCCGACTATGAACCGGCCATAGTATAGATAATATGAACTGTAGATTTTCAGTATTAGCGGTGAATATCGGAACACAGCCTATATCGGAAAAATGATCGATAATGGGCGCGTTCAGCGAATAAAGCGCTCAGTGAGCAATCAGCGATTATTGGCTCTTACTGTTAGATCCTTAAATCTAGACCAATTACATTGACGAATTACTCAACTGTTGTGTAACTGTTGGGTGCTGAACGCACCCAATGCGCCCATTCAGTATTACAATCGCTCACTGAGCGTTCAGTGAGCTCTTACATCCTATTGGCGTATTCTTTTAGATCTCAAAATATATACCAATCAAATGTAAGAGCTCATTGAGCGCTCAGTGAGCGGTAGTACTGAATGCGCCCATTGGCTGCATTCAGCAGACTCAACAGTTGCACAACAGTTGAGTAATTTGTCAATGTAATTGGTCTAGATTTAGGGATCTAATAGCAAGAACCAATAATCGTTGATTGCTCACTGAGCGCTTTTTTTACTGAATGCGCCCATTGTCATCCTTCTTCAATTACCTCCAGACCTTTCGGGATTCCTTTGCCAGTACGAAAATTTGTCTAGGGCTGACGGTCTTTAATAATACTTTGTTTGTGCTCGTACACAGAAAGGTTGTTCGTCATTTTTCAAGCGAGTTTGTAAACTCATAAAATTTTATTCAAATACACTCACGTCACATTTAGGCTGCGTTCGGAAACGTTACCCAAGTGTACCCGTTGCATTGGAGTGAGCGAAATACAAGAGTGAAATAAAAAGAAAGAGAGAGTACTCGAGTGACGTTTCCGAACGCAGCCATACTGTAGAATATCGAGTAAAATTTCTTCAAAAAAGACATTTTAGAATGCAACTCTAATCTCCAATTTCTCTAGTCTATAATCCTAGGCCCGTATTATAGTCGTTACTTGAACTTGTGCTATATGAAATATTTAGATCTGAATTTAGAATCAAATGGAAACTTTTCATTTGAATAATAAAAATAAAATATGCAACATCACATTTGCGATCGCGACTTAGCTGAAGAACTCACGTTTAGCTGTAAATTGAAAAGCAAAATATGCACGTCTTCTTCGCACAGATATGACATAGGCGCCCACTCGCGGTACTACCGACATACGTCCCTGCGAAGTGGTGCTGCGTAGTCGAAGCGGCGCGTCGTGCGGCACCGGATTACTCCGCGTGTGTGCCTCGCACGTCGCAAGTCTCGTGTGCGTTCGTGCGCCGAAAATCCGCCGTTATCATACCTTCAGACGCGCCTGATACCGTCCCGTTTTGCTTGATTCTGTCGATCGACTCTGACGGGCTCCTCGAGGCGGCTCGAACGCGGTGCACGAGCGGCGGCGTCTCGTAGTTTCCGCGCCTAGAAAGTTCCCTCGAGAGCGTACGTTTTCGCGACGGCGCAAGGATCGCCGCCGTCCAATGAGAAGACCGGCCTGGGCTCTGACAAGCGTCGCAGCAGGGAGGTGGAGGAGATGGGCAGGGAACCGAATCTCGTACGCATACGTCGCGTCGCCGCGGTGGAGGTGGAATCGTGTTGCTCTCTTGAAGGGGTAAGGCTCACTTTTGCGTTACGTCGTACTGCTCCCGCGCGCCAATTCCATCGCGAGTGAGACGTCGAGATGTGAGGACGCCGTGCTGTGTATGCGTTTACCATTTTGACCGTGTGCACGCGAGTCCATCATCGAGTGAATACACCTCGTAACACCGTGGATCTCTTGGAAGATGCTGGTGAGTGTGCAAACAACGGCGGGAGTGATAATGAAACGGCGATGCGTGCGGCTGGCTGGCG